CACCGCACCCACAGAACCCCAGGCCTATCTCCCTGATGATAGTGTTATGGGGCTGCAGGGGCTATATTTAGCCAGCCCTGTGACAGTGAGTACGCTGGCCATGCTAGGTGGATTCCAGTGGTATGCTCAGCTCCAGTACAACCCAACCACCACCTGCTGCTAGAGCTAACTGCCACACCGTCGTTTCAGCTCCCACTGGGCCTGGACCACATAGCCCCAGGCCAAACCTCAGGAGGAGAGAAAAGAAGGTCAGGCAGTCATCCAGTCTCCAGTCATCCATTTATTTAGGTTGGCCTGGTGATTTTTTTTTTATCGTTCTATTTTTTGTTACATTTGAGATCTCTTGACATTTAAAGGCGTATGGTTCTTTGGTTTCAGGTTTTGTTGGAGGAGGATTTGACTGGAGTGGTGGTTGATGTGTGAAGAGTTTTCTCCAGGCTGGGCTTTAGGATATGGTCAGACGGCTCAGGCTGACATGACATGAGGGGAGCCTCCTTCTGCTTCACATGAAGGTAACTGTAGGTCATAGATGTCTTACTGGAAGTGTCAGTTGGTCTCACTTTTACAGACACTTTCAACAAGAACTATCATCTATAAACACACGGTCACTGGAGAATGCCTTCAAGTCAGATCAGATACCTTCAGAATCTCACTTACCTAATAACTACATGAATTTTCACAAAATGTCACAACCCTGATAGAGATTTCAAAGATAATGTAGATATTATACATTTACTGTTAAATACCCAGATACATTTTATTTTATACTTTAAAATGTTTATATAATTTACAAAAATAGATTACAAAAGTTAGATAAGGGCAATTTGGTGGTAACAGAGTGATGCTGAGACTCAGATTTTTCACTTTAAAATGTACAGTACCAGTCAAAAGTTTGGACACACCTACTCATTCAAGGATTTTTCTTTATTTGTACTATTTTCTACATTGTAGAATAATAGTTAAGACATCAAAACGATGAAATAACACATATGGAATCATATAGTAACCAAAAAAGTGTTAAACAAATCAAAATATATTTCATATTTGAGATTCTTCAAATAGCCACCCTTTGCCTTTATGACAGCTTTGCACACTCTTGGCATTCTCTCAACCAGCTTCACCTGGAATGGTTTTCCAACAGTCTTGAAGGAGTTCCCACATATGCTGAGCACTTGTTGGCTGCTTTTCCTTCACTCTGCAGTCCGACTCATCCCAAACCATCTCAATTGGGTTGAGGTCGGGGGATTGTGGAGGCCAGGTCATCTGATGCAGCACTACATCACTCTTCCTCTTGGTAAAATAGCCCTTACACAGCCTGGAGGTGTGTTGGGTCATTGTCCTGTTGAAAAACAAATGATACTCCCACTAAGCCCAAACCAGATGGGATGGTGTATCGCTGCAGAATGCTGTGGTAGCCATGCTGATTAAGTGTGCCTTGAATTCTAAATAAATGACAGACAGTGTCACCAGCAAAGCACCCCCACACCATAACACCTCCTCCTCCATGCTTTACGGTGGGAACTACACATGCGGAGATCATCCGTTCACCCACACCACGTCTCACAAAGACACGGCGGTTGGAACCAAAAATCTCCAATTTGGACTCCAGACCAAAGTACACATTTCCACCGGTCTAATGTCCATTGCTCGTGTTTCTTGGCCCAAGCAGGCGTCTTCTTCTTATTGGTGTCCTTTAGTAGTGGTTTCTTTGCAGTAATTTGACCATGAAGGCCTGATTCACAGAGTCCCCTCTGAACAGTTGATGTTGAGATGTGTCTTTTACTTGAACTCTGTGAAGCATTTATTTGGGCTGCAATTTCTGAGGCTGGTAACTCTAATGAACTTATCCTCTGCAGCAGAGGTAACAGAGGTGGGTCTTCCTTTCCTGTGGCGGTCCTCAAGAGAGTCAGTTTCATCATAGCGCTTGATGGTTTTTGCGAATGCACAAATTTTCCGTATTGACTGACCTTCATGTCTTAAAGTAATGATGGACTGTCGTTTCTCTTTGCTTATTTGAGCTGTTCTTGCCATAATACGGACTTGGTCTTTTACCAAATAGGGCTATCTTCGGTATACCCCCCTACCTTGTCACAACACAACTGATTGGCTCAAACGCATTAAGAAGGAAAGAAATTCCATAAATTAACTTTTAAGAAGACACACCTGTTTATTGAAATACATTCCAGGTGACTACCTCATGAAGCTGGTTGAGAGAATGCCAAGAGTGTGCAAAGCTGGCCTCAAGGCAAAGGGTGGCTATTTGAAGAATCTTAAATATAAAATATATTTTGATTTGTTTAACACTTTTTTGGTTACTACATGATTCCGTATGTGTTATTTCATAGTTTTGATGTCTTCACTATTATTCTACAATGCAAAAAAATGAAAAAATTAAGAAAAACCCTTGAATGAGTAGGTGTGTCCAAACCTTTGACTGGTACTGTATATACTGACATGCACAAGGACTACTTTAAAACATTTCCACAGAAAATGGTATAAAAACATATTTACTTGAAGAACAGTGCAGATGCAAAGTTTGGTAACAGAATGACAGCACACACAGCACAAAGTTGTTACCAAACTTTGCGTCTGCACTGTTCTTAAAGTAAATGTGTTTTTGGATTTTTTTTTGTAGAAATAGTTACAAGTATTTATTTTGCATAGAGTTGTATGGTTTGTTTAACTTTGCAATCATTGATTTTTGTTTGGCATACATTTGAAAGTGAAAAATCTTTGTCACAGCATCACTCTGTTAGCATTGAATTGCCCATAAACAAAACATGATTAAAAACTATGTAGTTGCATGTTAGAATGTAATTACATCTCATTCAAAGGCACCAACATCTGAATAATAATGTTTTTTCTTTCTGTAATTCTGATTAAGGTGCAGGATACAAAGAAATGTCTACTGAATCAAGCTTTGAACCCTGAAAAACTATTAAGGGTGTGACTTAGAAAGTAAGACAGCCTCCTACACTGCATTTAAAATACAGCACTGTGGCAGTAGAGATATGTCAGAAAAGACCTCTCCATGTGATATTATTGACGAGGAGGAGGAGGATAGAACGTTGACGCCAACTGATGACGTCAGTGATTCGACTAGTTCCTACTGCACTGCCCTATGTTCACTAAGTGATTTTGGCGAGGTGGAAGAACCAAATGACAAACCGTGTCCTGAGCCCCAACCTCTAGTCTCAGCCCCGCTAACACCACCTTTACCTCAAGATAGTGATGTTGCTCTACTGCTTGAGCCCTGTATAACCAACCTGACAGAGGAGGGAAAGACTTCAGACGGGTCAGGTGACACATCAGATAAAACTTCTGCACCCAAAAAACGGGATACCTTAAGTGGCACTGTCACTGGCACCCTCACTGATACTGACACCAATGAGGGGCCCCGAACCTCTCAACCCAGATTCACCTCCAATACTATTTTGATCAGACCCAAAGTAAACCAATACAACCAGGACAGGGGACGAGAACACATTGGCATAAAGCCAAATGAGGATTCCACAACACAGGGTAAAAAGCACGGAAAGGGTCCCAGTATCTGTGGTACTGAAAGTAAACTCCTTAGCAGACACCCCGTGGATGGTGGTCAGGAGGAGGAGGGTGAGGGGCTGGGGCTGGACTGCATGGGGGCCAGCAATAGAGAGGAGCAGACTGAGCTGTCACTCAGAGCCAGGAATAGAAAAGCGCCTGCAAGCTGCATCTCGACACTCACAGTCGGCGAGCTGCAGTCAGGAATCCCGGCGTGTTGTTATTCAGAGTGTTCCCTCGCAACCGGGCAGCAACACCAACGGCAGAAACCTCCCGGATCCCAGAGCTTGCCAACGGACAGCCAGCAAGACACCTGGAGATCCAGACCGCTCCCTCAGAAACCCTGTGGAAGCACCTGGCGGCTCCAAGGGGTTCTACAACACAACGGTGAGCCATCCACCATGACCACCAAGTTCTATGAGGCAGACAGAGACCTGGCCTTCAGCAAACACTACTGCCCCCAGGCAGACTACTTGGATGTCTACAACTCCAGCTGTAGGTCCTTGACCCAGCCGTCCACAGTCAGCGACTGGTCAGAAGATGATATCTCCCTCCAGCTGTCCTCGGTTGTCTCAGCTAACATCCAAAGCACAACAGCATGCTCAGAAACTGGCAGCTTCGAATGCATTGATGTGGTTATGGAAAACCAGGGTGAGGTGTACAGAGGGGGAACGAAAACTGTTCCCAAGAGGCAAATCCAACTGAAGAGACGTAACACGGCGGAATCACAAGACAGCGATAAGGGAGAGGTGACAAATGAAGCCCAATGTACACCCAGTACAGCCAGCCACCGCAGGGACGTGTTTATGCGTCAGCACAGCACCCCGGCTGCCTTTCACCAGGAGTCACATGGGATGGAGTCGGAGAACAGGTCAGCTCAGGCCGAGCGAAAGCAGAGGCTCCAGAAGTCGATGTCCCTGGACGAGACCTCCACAAAAACCAAAATGGCCTCATGTATCATCAAGAGTGTCCTGTCAAAGAAGATGCAGTGTGAGCTGAATCTACAAAACTCTGAAGTGAACGAAGGAGCCTTCGCACCTCTAGAGGTCCAGAATAACGGTAAGAACTGTCACCTGAACCCTCTGGCAGCCAAAGAGATCAACACAACTGATATGAGCTCTGCTGATTCACATAGACAGAGTCACTCTATCCAATACCATCAGGTTGCGAGCACTAAAACACACCAAAAGCCACTTTATAAACAGAACTCAATTTATCTCGTGAGCAGCTTTGGAGGGTCTGAGTTTCAGAGCACCAGCACTAAGAGGGCTGAAATAGCCACCACTCTGGAGAGTGAGGAAATAGAAAGGCAAAACCCCAGGGATGGGGTTCTGCCGTACGCTAACCGGAGCCCAGGGGACAGACTATCCTGTGACTCAGCAAAGGGCAAAACGTGGAGCACATGTGCTGGTTCAAGCAGATCTGGAGGCAAACAGGCTCCGGTGAAAAACACACCAGAGGAATGCAACAGGGGGCAAGGGGTCCATAAACAACAGAACCCCCTGCCTAAGGCACTACAGAGGACTGATACACTCTGGGGCAGTGAAGACAGTCAGCAGCCACTAATTCCTGAAGGTGTCTCAGGAAAGGACATAGAGATGGAGGACAGGGGAGAAGTTAAGTTTGTGGGACAGTCTGGGAACATAGGGACACAGGGGATATTTAAAGCCAAGGCCCCAGTACATGTGGTGAGGGATGTGAGGAGGCTGGTGAAAAATACCTACAACCTGTCATTCAAAAATGCAGGGGACACTGTTTTGGAACAAGGGGACAGTTCCCTGTCCTTCTATCAGCAGTCTGCGTATGACCAGGTCAGCCACAGAGAAGCCTGTGGGGTCAGAGCTCCCGGGCCTAATGAAAAGCTGTTTGTGAAGAAAGTGTCCCCGCCGGCACCTCTGAAGGTCATGGATACAGCTTCATTTTACACCACCCCCAAGGGATATGTAACCAAAGCCACAGCTCTCCATGAATCACAAGACAGAATTCCTAACACTGGATTTACAAATATCACACCCCAAAGCCTTGGAAAGGCTATTGGGAAAAGAGGCAGCCAACCCAATATCAACCAGTCTGATAACCTGGGTAGTAGTGCCAGTACATGTTCAAAATACCCAAACAGAGCAGAGAAGCTTCGGCAGACCTGGTCTTCAGTGGAGCCCCCCAGTAAGTCTAATCAGCAACGGTGTGAAAGAACAGGCGCCACCAATGAGAAACAGAAATCACCACAAGCAAATGCCACAAATAGTATTACTTTAGTTCCAACATATTACTCATCAGCAGCACACTTGTACCAGCCAGAACAGTATCAGCCCTCAGTTACAACGTGTTCCAGTGCCAAGGATAGCAGCCAAAACCAGGGCCCTCCTCCCAGATCCCAGGGTCAAACTGCACCCGCTTGCACACCTTCCCCTGCCTGTGTACAGCTGAAAACCACTGGGACTCCACAGCCACTGATATCTCCCTTCTTCTACCCACCAAACCCAATGAACTACCAGACAATCCAAACCCACGTTGGAAAGATGAGTTTCATACAGGCCCCTGTCCTGATGCAGCCTCCACCTCAAAACCAGCCAGTCCAACTGCTGAGGGGAGAAAAATGCTCACCCCCACAGCCAGCAGGGAATGGAGAAATCAAAATGCCCTCCCCAGACACACAACAACAGCAGTACCTGTGCAGCACACAGGGTTTCATGGCCCCGTTCAGCACAGAGTACTGGCAGGGCAGTGCAGGCTTAGCATATCCTGAGATGGCTGGAGGTCAGGTTTACGGACAGGGCCCCCGACACATGCTGATGGACCCGGAGACGGGGAGACGATTCTACGTCGACGTTGCCCAACTTCCACCTCAGCCGCAGCGCAAGATGCTGTTCGATCCAGAGACCTGCCAGTACGTGGAAGTGCTGCTGCCACAGCAGACGGTGCCTACTGCAGTCCTGCGCCATACCTTACCACTCGCTGCAATTCCCAGCCATGTACCCTCCCAAGTGCCTCTCTGTTCAGGCTCATCCACAGGAGATGCCTCACACTGGGCCCTAAGACTGCTGCCTACCGGACTGCAACAGCAGAACACTTAACACTACAACAGGACTCTACACTGCACTGTCCAGAGGGTAAGGACTGAGGGTAGGCCGCTCAAGGCTACCCAGCGATGGATCAGAGTGTCTTACATACTGTCAGGTTGAGTAAATCTTGGGTATCAATAATAGTAATGAAAATCAGTGTCTCATCTCTGATTCACCTGAATCTGAAAATTCCTGACAATACCCATTAAGACTACCGGGACTTCACGTTGTCAGATATTTGTGTGAGAGAACAGAGGGCTGCTAAGGTATGCAATGTTTTCCAGAACTAAAATGCATACAGTGTGTTTACCTGTGGTTCTCTGAACCCTCCTCTTCCCTCCCTATTGAAACTGTGTCTTTGTGGGCAGATGCTTGATCATCTCATTTTCTAACATAAACAGTTTTCTTGTGATAATGTTTGCCATGTCTAGTTGTGTAATATAGATAAAACAACACTTTCTTAAAAACACAGATTTTCTTTTCCAAATTTCAAAGGAGAAATTAGATTTTGAGTGGGTGCTATTTTTTACACTGAGTGAATTATTTTGTAAGCTTTTGTTATCTTTTCCATCTCACCATTGTTTACTTGAGGAGAGTGGCCTGAACAAGCCGAGAGGGCAGCTGTCATCAGATTACAAACTCATCGCCAGGGCAGACTGAAATGGGCACTATTGACAGAGGCCCTGGCAGACAAAGGCTCTGGTTGTAATGTGGATGGGAAATTCAATTCAACATCTTTCATCATGTCACGCTGAAATCAGTACTGAACAGCCATAAAGATTCTGATCCTGTACTTCCTTGATAGATCAATAGACGCTAGCCTCTTGGTCTGCACCTTTTTTCTTCCAATCTGTGCAGTGTCGTTGTTCCGTCTCTCTCAGCTAATACAGTACAATTACCATGTTGACTTGACTTAGAAGCATGTGGGTTTTCTTTCTTACAGCAGTTTTTTGTCAGATTGTAAATATGTTCATCGACGGCTCTACTCTCACTAATCTGTTTTAACATTTTATTGTATCCCTTAATAATGTAAACAAACATTTTACATAGTCAAAAATAGGAATGTTTTAATATATTACACTTTCATTTTATATCATAACCGTTTTGCATTACCTCAGATTTGCTTGTGTTCAGATCATTAGATGAGATACACTATAATCACTTGTTCATTTTGTACACAATAAAGACTTAATAAAAAAACACTGCTAATGTTGTCTCTGCTTCTTCAGATACAGTCTACATACAAGCATAAGGGTCAGTATGCTTCTGAATATATGGCTCTTTGTTCTTCAGCATAGATCAATCATAAGACGCTGTAAATACGTAGTGGTGAGTATAAAAATGGTGATGGTAGACCAAACCACCAAAATAAATGGTGAGGAATGTGCTCTAATAAATAATATTCCAGTCACAACAATGCATCACCATTAAACAACATCGCCATCATTGTGCATGGTCCTGATTTCCAATTGCAGACCTTGAATTTCTCGATTATATCTGTAAGTGTCCAAAACAATAAATAGCTGTGAAAAACACAGCTCAGTATAAAAATAATATAAAGATGAATCATTGGACTGTTACTATACTTTGGTGCAGGACAAGTTCATTGTTGTGTCCATGCGTACACTCTCAGTCCTCTCTCTTAATTCATCCTCCTTGTTTTCCTGCATGCTGTCCTTCCGTCTGCGCTGCCTGAAGCCTTGGAAGCTGGGGCAGATGGGGAGATAGCGCAGGCAGCTGATCTTCCTGACGCAGCTCATTCCAATAGGGAAGTCGTAAGTAGTATGCATGTTCGCTGAGCTTCCCCCACTGCTCTCATCAGCCTTCCAGTCCAACAGCCCTCTCTCCTTCCTTGTGCCTGTTAACACCACACACACACACACAAGTGTACATGCACAAAACATACACACACACAATGCCACATAAACAAACATTGGTAGTTACAGGCAACAGTTGCGCTAAATTGAAGGATTGATGTGTCCCATAGTGATATCGTGGTGACACGTAAACAAACACAAAGCAACGGAGCCCTTTGATCCGTGTGTGACGAGGTGACTAGGAGGTTCTGTACATTTGACATCTGTTAATGAGATGAGGTTGCACTCTCACAGAGCATGCATACCTGGGATGGTGTTATCCAGCGCAAACGCCAGAAAGCCTCCAACAAACATCTCAGTGGTTAGGAGCACTGTGAGGATTTGATCCACCTCTGCAACTCCTGAGGAGGGCAATGAAATATTTATTAACAAATGAATGATCCTAATCATTATTCATAACATCAACATAATATCCAGCAGCAAAACCATACTAAACCTGCATACCAGTCTAACTGTACACATACTCTAAACTTTCTAAAGCCCCTCCTACACTTCCTCAGCAGATTATGATGTATTTTCTTATCAATAAAACCCTTTTAAATGTGCAGCCCACCTGTTTTGATGCAGCCAGGGTGCAAGTCTAGGTAACTGGGCAGCATGAGACCGAAGAACATGGAGAAACCGAGGACAAAGAGATTCCTAGAGGAGTTGAGGTCTACGCTCTGCAGGTTGGACAAGCCCACAGCCGTGATCATACCTGCAGGGCATAGTCAATACAAACAGAGGGGTTGAAAAGGTTATTATTGTCATATTGCTGACTGATTATTCGTGTTTCTGGCTAGAAACATAATATGACCCCCCTTCTGAAATAGTGAGCTTTCTGCGATCATACTGCCCCCTGGTGGCTGAGACTGAGACTGAGATGATGCTGTGTGTGGAATCTGTTTTAGTAAGTCACAGACCACAGTGGGAGAAACCCAGAGGTCACCAGAGGTCACCTCGTGTCCTCCCTTGAGAAGGACACGAGGGGAAAGGACACGAGGAGTATGCAATTGAGATTCTCCCAATGACTCACCGAACAAGGTGCAGAACATGCCACCTAGAATGGGGTCAGGCAGCGATGCGAAGAGGGCAGTGAATTTCCCCACTGTTCCTAACAGGAACATTATGGCTGCACCGTATTGCACCACTCTCCTGCTGCCCACCTGTGTGTAGGGACATAGTACAACATGACTCAATGTGAACTGTGCAACCTCCAGTATCAGTTGCAGTTCATTGATTATTCATCCACACTAGATTAACATACCAGTATATGTAAAGATGAGTAGACCCTTAGTTAATAATTATGTGGAAATAATAACAATTGATTTCCATTGTGGCAAAGGGCTTGCACTAGAGACCATGTTAATAAGCTTTATCTGTTTCAAACAGATACAGTGGCTTGCGAAAGTATTCACTCCCCTTGGCATTTTTCCTATTTTGTTGCCTTACAACCTGGAATTAAAATTGATTTTTGGGGGGTTTGTATCATTTGATTTACACAACATGTCTACCACTTTGAAGATGCAAAATATTTTATATTGTGAAACAAATAATAAATAAGACAAATAAACAGAAAACTTGAGCGTGCATAACTATTCCAATGGCCTTTTTCTGGCCACTCTTCCATAAAGCCCAGCTCTGTGGAGTGTACGGCTTAAAGCGGTCCTATGGACAGATACACCAATCTCCGCTGTGGAGCTTTGCAGCTCCTTCAGGGTTGTCTTTGGTGTCTTTGTTGCCTCTCTGATTAATGCCCTCCTTGCCTGGACCATGAATTTTGGTGGGCTGCCCTCTCTTGGCAGGTTTGTTGTGGTGCCATATTATTTCCATTTTTTAATAATGGATTTAATGGTGCTCCGTGGGATGTTCAAAGTTTCGGATATACACTACCGTTCAAAAGTTTGGGGTCACTTAGATTTTGTTCATTTGTCCATAAAAATAACATCAAATTGATCAGAAATAGAGTGTAGACATTGTTAATGTTGTAAATGGCTATTGTAGATGGAAACGGCTGATTTTTTATGGAATATATACATAGGCATACAGAGGCCAATTATCAGCAACCATCAGTCCTGTGTTCCAATGGCACGTTGTGTTTGCTAATCCAAGTTTATCATTTTAAAAGGCTAATTGATCATTAGAAAACCCTTTTGCAATTATGTTAGCACAGCTGAAAACTGTTGTGCTGATTAAAGAAGCAATAAAACTGGCCTTCTTGAGACTAGTTGAGTATCTGGAGCATCAGCAATTGTGGGTTCGATTACAGAATCAAAATGGCCAGAAACAAATAACTTTCTTCTGAAACTTGTCAGTCTATTCTTGTTCTGAGAAATGAAGGCTATTCCATGCGAGAAATTGCCAAGAAACTGAAAATCTCGTACAAGGCTGTGTACTACTCCCTTCACAGAACAGCGCAAACTGGCTCTAACCAGAATAGAAAGAGGAGTGGGAGGTCACGGTGCACAACTGAGCAAGAGGACAAATACATTAGAGTGTCTAGTTTGATAAACAGGAACCTCACAGGTCCTCAACTTGCAGCTTCATTAAATAGTACCCGCAAAACACCAGTCTCAACGTCAACAGTGAAGAGGTGACTCCGGGATGCTGACCTTCTAGGCAGAGTTACAAAGAAAAATACATATCTCAGACCGGCCAATAAAAAGAAAAGATGAAGATGGGCAAAAGAACACAAACACTGGACAGAGGAAGATTGGAAAAAAGTGTTATGGACAGACGAATCGAAGTTTGAGGTGTTTGTATCACAAAGAAGAACATTTGTGAGACGCAGACCAAATGAAAAGATGCTGGAGGAGTGCTTGATGCCATCTGTCAAGCATGGTGGAGGCAATGTGATGGTCTGGGGGTGCTTTGGTGGTGGTAAAGTGGGAGATTTATACAGGGTAAAAGGGATCTTGAAGAAAGAAGGCTATCACTCCATTTTGTAACGCCATGCCATACCCTGTGGACGGCGCTTGATTGGAGCCAATTTCCTCCTACAACAGGACAATGACCCAAAGTACAGCTCCAAACTATGCAATAACTATTTAGGGAAGAAGCAGTCATCTGGTATTCTGTCTATAATGGAGTGGCCAGCACAGTCACCGGATCTCAACCCTATTGAGCAGTTGTGGGAGCAGCTTGACTGTATGGTACGTAAGAAGTGCCCATCAAGCCAATCCAACTTGTGGGAGGTGCTTCAGGAAGCACGGGGTGAAATCTCTTCAGATTACCTCAACAAATTGACAACTAGAATGCCAAAGGCTATAATTGCTGCAAATGTAGGATTCTTTGACGAAAGCAAAGTTTGAAGGACACAATTATTATTTATATTAAAAATCATTATTTCTAACCTTGTCAATGACTACATTTCCTATTCAAACTCATTTCATGTATGTTTTCATGGAAAACAAGGAATTTCTAAGTGACCCCAAACTTTTAAACGGTAGTATATTTTCATAACCCAACCCTGATCTGTAATTCTCCACAACTTTGTCCCTGACCTGTTTGGAGAGCTCCTTGGTCTTCATGGTGCCCCTTGCTTAGTGGTGTTGCAGACTCTGTGGCCTTTCAGAACAGGTGTATATATACTGAGATCATGTGACAGATCATGTGACACTAAGATTGCACACAGGTGGACTTATTTAACTAATTATGTGACTTCTGAAAGTAATTGCTTGCACCAGATCTTATTTAGGGGTTTCATAGCAAAGGGGTGAATACATATGCACACACCACTTTTCCATTATTTATTTTTTATAATTTTTGAAATAAGTTATTTTTTTCATTTTACTTCACCAGTTTGGACTATTTTGGGTATATCCATTACATGAAATCCAAATAAGAATCCATTTAAATTACAGGTTGTAATGCAACAAAATAGGAGAAACGCCAAGGGGGATGAATACTTTTGCAAGGCACTGTACTATTGCTGATTCCAACTTGAACTAGACATAAATACAACATCTGAGATTACATATGTACACTCATGTGTTTTATGTAAATAGATTAAAGACATCATGTCTGAAAACAAACTGGGGAGGGGCTGAGGGGCTAACCTAACCTTAGTGATTCCCAGAACTCCAATGTTGGGACTGGAGGAGGTGGAGCCATTTCCTGTACCCAGCAGTCCTGCTATAATACAACACACACCCTCTGTGAAGATACCCCTAGTATGGGAAAGACATAACACGAAGGTTAATGAATGATACAGACACATACATACATCAACACAGAGAATAGGGTACTGAAGCTTGACCATAGAGGACTCTCAAACATAGGTTCATGTCAGGGCCTTAGGTCCGTGTCTGAAATCTAGACTCTGGCGTAGAAGACTGATGCTCACCTGTTGATGGCATGGACAGGTGGCGGAGGTGCCCCTGAGAGGCGAGCACAGGCGTAATAGTCCCCGATAGACTCTACAATGCCAGCTAGTGTGGCACTGAACATGCCCAGCACTCCGGCGATGGTCACTGTGGGCAACCCCCACTGACCTTTCAGGGACACACAAACACAACAAGTCGGAATCATTCCTCTACGCAGCAAGAGAAGAGGCAATGGCAATGGATGACAACTCAGATCATTTAAACCATTCAAAATGTTATACAGTTGAAGTCAGAAGTTTACATACACTTAGGTTGGAGTCATTAAAAATCATTTTTCAACCCCTTCTTGTTAACAAACTATAGTTTTGGCAAGTCGGTTAGGACATCTACTTTGTGCATGACACAAGTAATTCTTCTAACAATTGTTTACAGACAGATTATTTCACTTATAATTCACTGTATCACAATTCCAGTGGGTCAGAAGTTTACATACACTAAGTTGACTGTGCCTTTAAACAGCTTGGAAAATTCCAGAAAATGATGTCATGGCTTTAGAAGCTTCTGATAGGCTAATTGACATAATTTGAGTCAATTGGAGGTGTACCTGTGGATGTATTTCAAGGTTTACCTTCAAACTCAGTGCCTCTTTGCTTGACATCATGGGAAAACCAAAAGAAAAAAATGGTAGACCTCCACAAGTCTGGTTCATCCTTGGGAGCAACTTCCAAATGCCTAAAGTTACCACGTTCATCTGTACAAACAATAGTACGCAAGTATAAACACCATGGGACCACGCAGCCATCATACCGCTCAGGAAGGAGACGCGTTCTGTCTCCTAGAGATGAACGTACTTTGGTGCGAAAAGTGCAAATCAATCCCAGAACAACAGCAAAGGACCTTGTGAAGATGCTGGAGGAAACAGGTACAAAAGTATCTATATTCACAGTAAAATGAGTCCTATATCGACATAACCTGAAAGGCCGCTCAGCAAGGAAGAAGCCACTGCTCCAAAACCGCCATAAAAAAGCCAGACTACGGTTTGCAACTGCACATGGGGACAAAGATCATACTTCTTGGTCTGATGAAACAGAAATAGAACTGTTTGGCCATAATGACCATCGTTATGTTTGGAGGAAAAAGGGGGTAGCTTGCAAGCCGAAGAACACCATCCCAACCGTGAAGCACGGGGGGTGGCAGCATCATGCTGTGTGGGTGCTTTGCTGCAGGAGGGACTGGTGCACTTCACAAAATAGATGGCATCATGAGGAAGGAAAATTATGTGGATATATTGAAGCAACATCTCAAGACATCAGTCAGGAAGTTAAAGCTTGGTTGCAAATGGGTCTTCCAAATGGACAATGACCCCAAGCATACTTCCAAAGTTGTGGCAAAATGTCTTAAGGACAACAAAGTCAAGGTATTGGAGTGGCCATCACAAAGCCCTGACCTCAATCCTATAGAAAATGTGTGGGCAGAACTGAAAAAGCGTGTGCGAGCAAGGAGGCCTAAAAACCTGACTCAGTTACACAAGCTCTGTCAGGAGGAATGGGCCAAAATTCACCCAACTTATTGTGGGAAGCTTGTGGAAGGCTACCCGAAACGTTTGACCCAAGTTAAACAATTTAAAGGCAATGCTACCAAATACTAATTGAGTGTATGTAAACTTCTGACCCACTGGGAATGTGATGAAAGAAATGAAAGCTGAAATAAATCATTCTCTCTACTATTATTCTGACATTTCAAATTTTTTAAATAAAGTGGTGATCCTAACTGACCTACTAGGATTAAATGTCAGGAATTGTGAAAAGCTGAGTTTAAATGTATTTGGCTAAGGTGTATGTAAACTTCCGACTTCAACTGTATAAGGCCATTCTAAAGTTGATCATAAATGGCCAGTGACATCCACTCTCTTAACTTGACCCTTGATCTAGCTCATGTGTCCAAACTGCCACATTGTGAGACACAATGGCGGTAAGGCTGGCCTCTTACAGGGGTAGGGGACGCGGAACCAGGGGGAGAGGGTCATGATGTCACCACGGGCGTCGGTGCGTGCCTTCTGTCCGTACTGGCTGGGGTCACTGGGCAGCACGTCGGTCAGGGTCAGGATGTAACACAGAAGCCACACCAACATGATGGCCATGATGATCTAAACAGAGAAGGGGAACAGCATGACATACAGTGGGGGAAAAAAGTATTTAGTCAGCCACCAATTGTGCAAGTTCTCCCACTTAAAAAGATGAGAGAGGCCTGTAATTTTCATCATAGGTACACGTCAACTATGACAGACAAATTGAGAAAAAAAATCACATTGTAGGATTTTTAATGAATTTATTTGCAAATTATGGTGGAAAATAAGTATTTGGTCACCTACAAACAAGCAAGATTTCTGGCTCTCACAGACCTGTAACTTCTTCTTTAAGAGGCTCCTCTGTCCTCCACTCGTTACCTGTATTAATGGCACCTGTTTGAACTTGTTATCAGTATAAAAGACACCTGTCCACAACCTCAAACAGTCACACTCCAAACTCCACTATGGCCAAGACCAAAGAGCTGTCAAAGGACACCAGAAACAAAATTGTAGACCTGCACCAGGCTGGGAAGACTGAATCTGCAATAGGTAAGCAGCTTGGTTTGAAGAAATCAACTGTGGGAGCAATTATTAGGAAATGGAAGACATACAAGACCACTGATAATCTCCCTCGATCTGGGGCTCCACGCAAGATCTCACCCCGTGGGGTCAAAATGATCACAAGAACGGTGAGCAAAAATCCCAGAACCACACGGGGGGACCTAGTGAATGACCTGCAGAGAGCTGGGACCAAAGTAACAAAGCCTACCATCAGTAACACACTACGCCACCAGGGACTCAAATCCTGCAGTGCCAGACGTGTCCCCCTGCTTAAGCCAGTAAATGTCCAGGCCCGTCTGAAGTTTGCTAGAGTGCATTTGGATGATCCAGAAGAGGATTGGGAGAATGTCATATGGTCAGATGAAACCAAAATATAACTTTTTGGTAAAAACTCAACTCGTCGTGTTTGGAGGACAAAGAATGCTGAGTTGCATCCAAAGAACACCATACCTACTGTGAAGCATGGGGGTGGAAGCATCATGCTTTGGGGCTGTTTTTCTGCAAAGGGACCAGGACGACTGATCCGTGTAAAGGAAAGAATGAATGGGGACATGTATCGTGAGATTTTGAGTGAAAACCTCCTTCCATCAGCAAGGGCATTGAAGATGAAACGTGGCTGGGTCTTTCAGCATGACAATGATCCCAAACACACCGCCCGAGCAACGAAGGAGTGGCTTCGTAAGAAGCATTTCAAGGTCCTGGAGTGGCCTAGCCAGTCTCCAGATCTCAACCCCATAGAAAATCTTTGGAGGGAGTTGAAAGTCCGTGTTGCCCAGTGACAGCCCCAAAACATCACTGCTCTAGAGGAGATCTGCATGGAGGAATGGGCCAAAATACCAGCAACAGTGTGTGAAAACCTTGTGAAGACTTACAGAAAACGTTTGACCTGTGTCATTGCCAACAAAGGGTATATAACAAAGTATTGAGAAACTTTTGTTATTGACCAAATACTTATTTTCCACCATAATTTGCAAATAAATTCATTAAAAATCCTACAATGTGATTTTCTGGAGAAAAAAATTCTCATTTTGTCTGTCATAGTTGTACCTATGATGAAAATTACAGGCCTCTCTCATCTTTTTAAGTGGGAGAACTTGCACAATTGGTGGCTGACTAAATACTTTTTTCCCCCACTGTATCATACAACGTAATCATAGAGCTTATTATGTAGACCTATTCTTACAGCCCTTTTCATCAGGAAGCTAATACTTTGCATTAACATTATGGTGAAATTACCCATGGTCTGTGTCTATCTATCACAGTGAGTCATTTCTATAGCCTGGCCTTGACAGTGTCCCCATGACCTGGCTGGCAGCACTGATTAAGGCAGTAACACCGAGGGAAATGCAATATATTCTGCCTAAAATGAGACTTTATTATACCTTTCAAGATTGGGATGACATGATAAGTGCTGTGAATGAATAGCTTGGTGTATTTGATGAATATTAGTTCATGCCCCACATGGGAACATCTGATTAGTATGAATCGGAGGACTTTTTAACATCCCTGTGAGACAAATGTGTGGTTTCTTGGTTCTAACCGGGAACATCTTAAAGATCTGGAACCTGACGGTGCTGAAGCCTTTCTTCCTGTTGTAGGTGAGGAGAGGGAAAGACCAGTTCCTCAGGTACTGAGCAAACAGCACAATGAGGAAGATGCACCTGGGGAGAGACAGAGGATCAGTTAGGCAGTGATATAGCTACAACATAACCCAATCAAAGACATCAAACAGGGAAAAGGTCATTAACCCTTTACACTTGTGGGAATTGCCTATATGGATAAGGCTAAAATGAAATGTTTCTTACAGAATAAATATGAAATGCATAACCATGGTAGCAATTGAAAGGGAACAGTTTGGAGATAATGGGAAAATTATTAGACCAAAGGTGAGACAAGCACACTCGTTAGGAACACAACCCTGCAATCACACAATTACTGTTGTTTACGTGATCCAAAAACGGTCCATTATACATCCCAATCTGGGTCAGGTGGGCATGATTTGAAAGCTTGTTCTATTGCAAACATGACTAGCTAAGTTATAAAATACGATCTTACAGTATTAGGCGTTCACAAGGCAATTCAGAGAAACAGATCGTAATTTTGCTGTGCATTGAAAGGAGCCATGAGTGCATTCAGGTGTGTGTGTGCCGCGGCTAATCTTCTTCACAATAAACAAACATAGGCTCATTCTGTTCAGAACAACCCAGGGTATGACGCCAGGGTACATCAAGCACAGTGATCATAAACGTTGACACTGTACTTTATAAGACATGAGTTTTATGATTTGGAAATGTGAAGTGCACATTTGGACTCACAGCTTTTATGACATCAAAGCGGTATCTATTATAACCCTCAACGTCTTATCTTTCAAAATACATACACTCATCTTAATGTACAGCATTTCCCTCACTCAGACAACAAAAAATTTGCAAATGTTGCCCAATTACCGGGAAGTGCTGGGAAGCGTAGAGCCAGAGCTCTGACGTCATGTACAGCACATTACTGTGCAGCCACTGTGTTCCAATTTAGGCGTTTATCAGTGCCCAAATCTGCATTTTCAACCTGTATATGGGTACGAGTGTGAAGGGCTACGTTAATAGTATGTGATTAAATTCAATAGCTTCAATGACCTTGGATTTAAAACAATAAAGAGTCACAAGTCCTAGTCGAAGTAATCAATTTTTCTACTATAGAAGCGAGGAACAGAGGTAAGAAAAACATGCCTTAGGCCTAGAGAGTAATACAACTCAGAAAACATTGTTGGATCTCAAGTGTACGCATGAGTGAAGAGGATCAGATGGAAAGAGCAGAGGGAAATCAGGTAGGAGGATACATTACAGAGAAGGAGTGAATTCAATAGACAGAGGATGAATTGTGCTCTTACAGTGCTGAGAGGCCCCAGTGAGAGCCGGCTCTGTCCCCAGCGGTCTGGAAGACAGACAGGCCGATGAGGGACACGGTGGGGGTGACGGTCAAGGGCCCAATGTAGTCCAGCAGGATACCAGGGAGACCCACCAGCCCGATAACCACCTCCACGGCACTGGATGCTATGATGGCACCCTGGATCTACAGCGGAGAGAGACCGACTGTTATTATCATTAGATATGTCAAATCAAATCAAATGTTATTTGTCACATGCTTCATAAACAACAAGTGTAGGCTAACAGTGAAATGCTTACTTACGGGTCCTTTTCCAACAATGCAGAGTTAAAGATAAAAAATTAAATAAAAATAGAAATAGTGACACAAGGAATAAATACACAGAATTAATAAATAACAATAACTAGTAAAAGTAACATGGCTACAGTGCGTGGAAAGTATTTAGACCCCTTGACATTTTAGACATTTTGTTACGTTACAGCCTTATTCTAAAATGGATTCAATTGTTTTTTCCCCTCATCAATCTACACACAATACCTCATAATGACAAAGTAAAAACAGGTTTTTATACATTTTTGCAAATGTATAAACCACCCCCCCCGGAAATATGATATTTACATATGTATTCAGAACCTTTACTCAGTATTTTGTTGAAGCACCTTTGGCAGCGATTACAGACTTGAGTCTAATTGGGTTACAAGCTTGGCATACCTGTATTTGGGGAGTACCTGTATTCAGGTTGGATGGGGAGCATTGCTGCACAGCTATTTTCAGGTCTCTCCAGAGATGTTCGATCGGGTTCAAGTCCGGGCTCTTGCTGAGCCTCTCAAGGACATTCAGAGACTTGTCCCGAAACCACTCCTGCGTTGTCTTGGCTATGTGCTTAGGGTTGTTGTCCTGATGTCCTGAGCACTCTGGAGCAGGTTTTCATCAAGGATCTCTCTGTACTTTGATTGGTGGAGTGCTGCAGAGATGGTTGTCCTTCTGGAAGGTTCTCCCATCTCCACAGAGAACTCTGGAGCTCTGTCAGACTGACCATCGAGTTCTTGGTCACCTCACTGACCAAGGCCCTTCTCCCCCGATTGCTCAGTTTTTCCAGGCGGCCAGCTCTTAGAAGATTCTTGGTGGTTCCAAACTTCTTCCATTTAAGAATGATGGAGGCCACTGTGTTCTTGGGGACCTTCAATACTGCAGACATTTTTTGGTCCCCTTCCCCAGATCTGTGCCTGGACACAATCCTGTCTCGGAGCTCTACGGAAAATTCCTTTGACCTCATGGCTTGGTTTTTGCTCTGACATGTACTGTCAACTGTGGGACCTTATATAGACAGGTGTGTGCCTTTCCAAATCATGTCCAATCAATTGAATATACCACAGGTGGACTCCAATCAAGTTGTAGAAACATCTCAAGGATGATCAATGGAAACAGGATGCACCTGAGCTCAATTTCGAGTCTCATAGCAAAGGGTCTGAATACTTATGTAAATAAGGTATTTCGGTTTTTAATTTTTTATAACTTTGCAAAGATTTCTAAAAACCTGTTTTCACTTTGTCATTATGGGGTATTGTGTGTAGATTGATAATGATTTTTATTTATTTAATACATTTTAGAATAAGGCAGTAACGTAACAAAATTTGGAAAAAGTCAAGGGGTCTGAATACTTTCCGAATGCACTGTATATACTGGGAGCATCAGTACCGAGTTGATGTGCAGGGCTACGAGGTAATTGAGGTAGCTATGTACATATAGGTAGGGGTAAAGTGACTAGGCAACAGAATAGATCATTGACAGTAGCAGCAGCCTATGTGGAGGACCACCATGCGACCTGACCAGGAAAAACGATGGATCCTAGTTAGGTCTACATGATGTCTCAGATAATGTCAATCAAAGTGAGAGATGCTATAGTTCAGAAGGATGGACCACAAGATGGAGGCCCACTGACAAGAAGCAGGAAGTACCTCTCTCATCCTTGGGTGCCAGATGTGGGAGGTGTTCAGAGGAAGACTCCAGTCCCCATAGATCTCCTCTGTGGAAAGACAGACAGACACAACAGCCCATTAGTGAGGTTCTGTCTGTGACTGGGCCCTATTCTTTTCACACAGGTTGGGATTGAGGGACGCACCTTCAGAGGGACATTTCCATCTATCAAGCCCTAGGATGGCTTGAGCAGGGATGAGGAAAGCAAAAGCACTGGCCTGGAAAAGAGGTAACCTACAAATCGAAGATGAAACACGGGTGCATGATAAGCATTAGCCGACATACACATGTACACACATGCACACACACACACACACACACACACACACACACACACACCTGACTCCAAAGGTGGTTTGTATAAGCGTGGTGATTCCCACGCAGGTGAAGATGGTTCCCACCAGCTGACTGACTGTGTACTGGTCCTTTCCCACACACATGGCCTCCGCTAGCAGGAAGGGCACAGCAATGGTCCCGCTAAAACACGTCAGGTAGTGCTGCGATCAAAGACGAAGAAAGAAAGAGAGTGGGGCGAGAGACATATGGGAAAAGAGAGCACACAAAAGAGCAAGAGGAAGGTGGAGTCTATTGATGAAACCATTCATGAAAACAAGGTGTGTGTGAAAGAAAGTGTATGTGTGTACCTGGAGGCCCAGTAGAATGCAGAGGTACCAAGGCGGGACATCCTCTATGGTGTAGATCATGTCAAAGCCTGGCTGCTGCTTCTGCTGCTGCTCCTCTGCAGCCAGTTTCCCCCCCTCAGCACCCTGCTCCTGTTCCTCTGTCTGACTCTGGACATCATGAGTCTGAGGGGAGACATTCACACATCTAAACTGATTTTGGATTGGGTTGGCAACTTGGCAACACAAATCTTGAACGCAGAGAGACGTGTTCAACCACTGGGAATAATCGATGACAAAGGCTCTCATACACCATGGAAGTAAAACACAATTCAGTGTATCCACGTTTGTTTGTTTGTGTCCATGAGGTATTGTGTCTGCCCCATGTCAATAGCCACAAATACCCTGCAAAAGCGTTGTTTCAGATATCAATCCAGAACCTCCACAAGTTCAGTTGTTAGTCAGTCAGACATCATGGCAGTAAGGACCCTAGTCTGAGCATGGTAAACAGTTTTTCCCACAGGGTCATTTCACCCCAAAAGTAAACAGAAACACTGTGGGAATATAATGAAGTAACAGGATAACCGAACAAGCTCAACTTTACACTTGACAGAAAGAAAACCATAGCACACCACACATGACCTACACACCACACGTGAACTCAATCATCCCATAATCATGATCTTGTCAGGCCAGATAATGTATACTTACAAACATTAACAACAAAACTAAACGCATCAATGTATTGAAATGCTAGTAAATTAAGAGTTTACCTTGTGGTCTGGTTGTGTCTCTGTGTGCTGCATCTGCTTCATCAGGTCCTTGTGATGGATTGTTGGGTAAGGGTGCTTCTCTCTGTGCTCTCTCAACTGAACACGTGTGACCTCAGCCCTATACAGGAGAAGTGCATCCCATTTTATGGGGATAGAGGGGACCAGATTAGCCAGGTTAATAATCTGCCCCAGAGGCGGACTTTACCCACTGGTGATGATCAAGAGGCTGAGACTGTAAACCTAAAGGTAAAGGACCCAGGGGTCAAGAAGACACTTCTTGGAATGAGAGCTAGTGTGCTAGAATCAGGATAGCTATCAGAAAAAACTACATCGGAAGGGTTACATTTGTAGTTATAGATATATTTACATGTACATTTACGTCATTTAGCAGGCGCTCTTATCCAGAGCGACTTACAAATTGGTGCATTCACCTTATGATAGCCAGTGGGACAACCACTTTACACATAACATTTTTTTTTTATCTTGAATTTTTGAATTTTTGATTTCTAGAGTATATTTTGAATTTTCATTTGTTTTATATATATATAAAAAAAAGTAATATATATTTATTATTATTATTATTATTATTATTTTATATTTTGTGGGGGTGGGGTAGGGGGGGGGTAGAAGGATTACTTTTATACTATCCCAGGTATTCCTTAAAGAGGTAGGGTTTCAAGTGTCTCCGGAAGGTGGTCAGTGACTCCGCTGTCCTGGCGTCGTGAGGGAGCTTGTTCCACCATTGGGGTGCCAGAGCAGCAAACAGTTTTGACTGGGCTGAGCGGGTAACTGTGCTTCCGCAGAGGTAGGGGGACCAGCAGGCCAGAGGTGGAAGAACGCAATGCCCTCGTTTGGGTATAGGGACTGATCAGAGCCTGAAGGTAAGGAGGTGCCGTTCCCCTCACAGCTGCGTAGGCAAGCACCATGGTCTTGTAGCAGATGCGAGCTTCAACTGGAAACCAGTTGAGTGTGCGGAGGAGCGGGGTGACGTGAGAGAACTTGGGAAGGTTGAACACCAGACGGGCTGCAGCGTTCTGGATGAGTTTTAGGGGTTTAATGGCACAGGCAGGGAGCCCAGCCAACAGCGAGTTGCAGTAATCCATACGGGAGATGACAAGTACCTGGATTAGGACCTGTGCCGCTTCCTGTGTAAGGTAGGGTCGTACTCTTTGAATGTTGTAGAGCATGAACCTACAGGATCGGGTCACCGCTTTGATGTTAGCGGAGAACGACAGGGTGTTGTCCAGGGTCACGCCAAGGTTCTTTGCACTCTGGGAGGAGGACACAACGGAGTTGTCAACCGTGATGGCGAGATCATGGAGCGGGCAGTCCTTCCCCGAGAGGAAGAGCAGCTCCGTCTTGCCGAGGTTCAGCTTGAGGTGGTGATCCGACATCCACACTGATATGTCTGCGAGACATGCAGAGATGTGATTCGCCACCTGGTTATCAGAAGGGGGAAAGGAGAAGATTAATTGTGTGTCGTCTGCGTAGCAATGATAGGAGAGACCATGTGAGGATATGACAGAGCCAAGTGACTTGGTTGTATAGAGAGAATGGGAGAGGGCCTAGAACTGAGCCCTGGGGAACACCAGTAGTGAGAGCACGTGGTGCGGAGACAGATTCTCACCACGCCACCTGGTAGGAGCGACCTGTCAGGTAGGACACAATCCAAGAGTGAGCCGCGCCGGAGATGCCCAACTCAGAGAGGGTGGAGAGGAGGATCTGATGGTTCACAGTATCAAAGGCAGCAGATAGGTCTAGAAGGATGAGAGCAGAGGAGAAAGAGTTAGCTTTAGCAGTGCGGAGAGCCTCCGTGACACAGAGAAGAGCAGTCTCAGTTGAATGACTAGTCTTGAAACCTGACTGGTTTGGATCAAGAAGGTCATTCTGAGAGAGATAGCAGGAGAGTTGGCTATAGACGACACGCTCAAGAGTTTTGGAGAGAAAAGAAAGAAGGGATACTGGTCTGTAGTTGTTGACATCAGAGGGATCAAGTGTAGGTTTTTTGAGGAGGGGTGCAACTCTCGCTTTCGTGAAGATGGAAGGGACATAGCCAGCGGACAAGGATGAGTTGATGAGCGAGGAGATATGTGACCAATTGTGCATTTAATTTTATCAGAAGAGGTTGTGATGGCATCTAGGCCAGCCATATTAAATAGGCGGACAGTGGTCCGGATCTGGACCCAGAACAGGGTCAATATGGACTGCGGGTCCCAACTAAAGTCAATAAATGAATATACACTACCAGTCAAAAGTTTGGACACACCTACTCATTCAAGGGTTTTTCTTTATTTTTTTTTACATTGTAGAATAATAGTGAAGACATCAAAACTATCAAATAACACATATGGAATCATGTAGTAGCCAAAAAAGTGTTAAACAAATCTAAATATATTATATATTTGAGATTCTTCAAATAGTCACTCTTTGCCTTGATGACAGCTTTGCACACTCTTGGCATTCTCTCAACCAGCTTCATGAGGTAGTCACCTTGAATAAATTTCAATTAACAGGTCTGCCTTCTTAATATGTGTGAGCCAATCAGTTGTGTTGTGACAAGGTAGGGGAGGTATACAGGAGATAGCCCTATTTAGTAAAAGACCAAGTCCATATTATGGCAAGAACAGCTCAAATAAGCAAAGAGAAATGACCAAAGAGAAAGTCCATCATTACTTTAAGACATGAAGGTCAGTCAATACAGAAAATGTCAAGAACTTTGAAAGTTTCTTCAAGTGCAGTCGCAAAAACCATCAAGCGCTATGATGAAACTGGCTCTCATGAGGACTGCCACAGGAATGGAAGACCCAGAGTTACCTCTGCTGCTGAGGATAAGTTAATTAGAGTTATCAGCCTCAGAAATTGCCACCCAAATAAATGCTTCACAGAGTTCAAGTAACAGACACATCTCAACATCAACTGTTCAGATGGGAACTTTGTGAATCAGGCCTTCATGGTCGGATTGCTGCAAAGAAACCACTACTAAAGGACACCAATAAGAAAAGACTTGCTTGTGCCAAGAAACACAAGTCTTTGTGAGACGCGGTGTGGGTGAACGAATGAACTTCTGCATGTGTAGTTCCCACCGTAAAGCATGGAGGAGGAGGTGTGATGGTGTGGGGGTGCTTTGCTGGTGACACTGTCAGTGATTTATTTAGAATTCAAGGCACACTTAACCAGCATGGCTACCACATCATTCTGCAGCGATACGACATCCCATCTGGTTTGGGCTTAATGGGACTATAATTTTTTTTCAACAGGACAATGACCCAACACAGCTCCAGGCTGTGTAAGGACTATTTTACCAAGAAGCAGAGTGATGGAGTGCTGCATCAGATGACCTGGCCTCCACAATCCCCCGACATCAACCCAGTTGAGATGGTTTGAGATGAGTCGGACGGCAGACTGAAGGAAAAGCAGCCAACAAGTGCTCAGCATATGTTGGAACTCCTTCAAGACTGTTGGAAAAGCATTCCAGGTGAAGCTGGTTGAGAGAATGCCAAGAGTGTGCAAAGCTGTCATCAAGGCAAAGGGTGGATATTTGAAGAATCTCAAACATAAAATACAGTTGAAGTCGGAAGTTTACATACACTTAGGTTGGAGTCATTAAAACTTGTTTTTCAACCACTCCACAAATGTCTTGTTACCAAACTATAGTTTTGGCAAGTCGGTTAGGACATCTACTTTGTGCATGACACAAGTAATTCTTCTAACAATTGTTTACAGACAGATTATTTCACTTATAATTCACTGTATCACAATTCCAGTGGGTCAGAAGTTTACATACACTAAGTTGACTGTGCCTTTAAACAGCTTGGAAAATTCCAGAAAATGATGTCATGGCTTTAGAAGCTTCTGATAGGCTAATTGACATCATTTGAGTCAATTGGAGGTGTACCTGTGGATGTATTTCGAGGCCTACCTTCAAACTTGCTTGACATCATGGGAAAATCAAAAGAAATCAGCCAAGACCTCAGAAAAAAAATGGTAGACCTCCACAAGTCTGGTTCATCCTTGGGAGCAATTACCAAACGCCTGAAGGTACCACGTTCATCTGTACAAACAATTAGTACGCAAGTATAAACACCATGGGACCATGCAGCCGTCATAACCGCTCAGGAAGGAGACGCGTTCTGTCTCCTAGAGATGAACATACGAAAAGTGCAAATCAATCCCAGAACAATGGCAAAGGACCTTGTGAAGATGCTGGAGGAAACAGGTACAAAAGTATCTATATCCACAGTAAAACAAGTCCTATATCGACATAACCTGAAAGGGCGCTCAGCAAGGAAGAAGCCACTGCTCCAAAACCGCCATAAAAAAGCCAGACTACAGTTTGCAACTGCACATGGGGACAAAGATCGTACTTCTTGGTCTGATGAAACAGAAATAGAAATGTTTGGCCATAATGACCATCGTTATGTTTGGAGGAAAAAGGGGGTAGCTTGCAAGCCGAAGAGTCAAGGTATTGGAGTGGCCATCACAAAGCCATGACCTCAATCCTATAGAACATTTGTGGGCAGAACTGAAAAAGGCGTGTGTGAGCAAGGAGGCCTACAGACCTGACTCAGTTACACAAGCTCTGTCAGGAGGAATGGGCCAAAATTCACCCAACTTATTGTGGGAAGCTTGTGGAAGGCTACCTAAAATGTTTGACCCAAGTTAAACAATTTAAAGGCAATGCTACCAAATACTAATTGAGTGTATGTAAACTTCACACCCACTGGGAATGTGATGAAAGAAATAAAAGCTTAAATAAATCATTCTCTCTACTATTATTCTGACATTTCACATTCTTAAAATAAAGTGGTGATCCTAACTGACCTAAGACAGGGAATTCTTACTAGGATTAAATGTCAGGAATTGTGAAAAACTGAGTTTAAATGTATTTAGCTAAGGAGTATGTAAACTTCCGACTTCAACTGTATATTTAGATGTGTTTAACACTTTTTTGGTTACTACATGATTCCATGTGTGTTATTTCATAGTTTTGATGTCTTCACTATTATTCTACAATGTAGAAAATAGTCCAAATAAAGAAAAACCCTTGAATGAGTAGGTGTGTCCAAACTTTTGATTGGTACTGTATGTTACGTAAAAAATCTGGCTTTTAACATACTGCTGTTGAGAATTGTAATAGTGGAATGCGCAACGTGCAATTTAGAAATTTGGTAGCGCATGGGCAGTTTTCCTCTCGTCATTTCATTCACTGACAGACCTGTCAGAAATGTCCAGTTGATCAACTAGCCCATGTTAGCTAGGTAGGTAAATAACCAGCTATCTAAATCTTGTAGTTATCATGGCCAGATTACATGCCCAGGGCCCTCTACCTGTTTTTTTTTTTTACTGTCTATGGCCTCGACACCCAGGGGGACCTCATTGATTTTGAGTCCCTCAGGTATCATGAACACACAAAAGACAGGGTAAAATGTGTAGAATTGCAGAAAATGAGCTTTAAAACTGCAAAATGTTCTCTCCGCCAACAAAAGTTTGGGGTCGCATGGGGTGAACGGTGAGGGTTTGTTACTATGGTGAAAAATTACAATATCCATTTGGACCTTTGCAACCTAAAAAAATGTGTGACCGGACATTCTCAAATAGTATTGGAGTACCCCTGATCTAGGCTTTGTCCTTGAGTGTTGCTGTCATTGATGTTATAACTGTTTACACAAAGGTGTTAAGAAAAAAATAAAATGACCGCATGGACTACATACAAGTAGACTGCCATAGTCTCATTTGATGTAATAATGAGCAGTGATGTAAAATACTTGAAAGTACTACTTAAGTCATTTTTTAGGGTATCTGTACTTTACTATTTATATTTTTGATAACTTTTATTTCACTACATTCCTAAAGAATATTATGTACTTTTTACTCCATACATTTTCCCTGACACCGAAAAGTACTTGTTACATTTTGAATGCTTAGCAGGACAGGAAAATAGTCCAATTCACGCACTTATCAAGAGAACATCCCTGGTCATCCCTACTGCCTCTGATCCGGCACTCACTAAAAACATAAATGCTTCGCTTGTAAATTATGTCTGCATGTTGTAGTGTGACCCTTGCTATCCATACATTTAAAAAAACTGATAATTGTACCGTCTGGTTTGCTTAACATAAGCAATTTGAAATGATTTATACTTTTAATACTTAAGTATATTTTTGCAATTACATTTACTTTTGATACTTAAGTACATTTAAAACCAAATACTTTGACTTTTACTCAAGCAGTATGTTACTGGGTGACTTTCACTTGAGTAATTAATAAGGAATATAATATAATAATATAATATGCCATTTAGCAGACGCTTTTATCCAAAGCGACTTACAGTCATGTGTGCATACATTTTTACATATGGGTGGTCCTGGGGATCAAACCCACTACCCTGGCGTTAGAAGCGCCATGCTCTACCAGCTGAGCTACAGAGGACCACCAATCTTTACTTTTACTCAATTATGACAATTGGGTACTTTTTCCACCACTGATAATGAGATCTTATAAGGAAGACTGATGTATAAAATCCAGAATGCTTAACTCCTTCCAGTATGTGAGTGAAGTGGGGTGGGGGGAGGGTTAAAAAAAGACATTATGGAAAATAACCACCTGGCAACAAATGAATGGACTTTTATTTATTTTTACTACACAAACTCATACCAACCACAAGAGGTCGAGACACCAAGGCATGACTTCATATTCTATAATAGAGTAAGGGCTTAATCATACCGCACATTGCCGTATCCATTGCCTTGCTGTGTCTTATCGAAAAGGTAAAGTATCCCTTGATCTTGATTGGAATGTACAATCCAGAGACACAGCTATGCATTTCATCCTCTAAAAATCATGATTTTACTCAAGAAGACACACCCGGCCTTGTGCATCACACACACCTTCACAAACAGAGACACACATGCACACGTTGCTCATACAAGTGTACGGACACACTGGACTGGCTTGACACAGGAAGGACTGTCTGGAGGAAGTCAAGGGGTAAGTCTGGAGCAGACCTTGCCAATACGGAGGTCATGACCCTTAGTAGGACATCGCCTACAGACAGACGGACACACAATCAGTGAGTGATACAGAGTGGGGTGGTGATGTCAGAGAGAGGGGGAGGGGAGAGGAGGGCAAGAGGACAATTCAAGGAGAGAGAGAGAGATGGAGAGAGCAGACAGGATATCAGGGAACCCAAAACCTCCTGACAGGAAACCAGTGACGTATGGGAAGGAACAAACAAACAAACGAACATGCACGCACACACACACACACACACACACGCACACGCACACAGGAACCAAACAAGTCTACCCTTGACTGATTAGATTAAACAGTCACACCAGCAGCCAAGAAGTACAATAAACGTCTAAAATAAACGCATGGCACAATCCTCTCGTTACAATACCCATTTTTATTATCATATCAACAAACTGCAGCAGTAACAAACAAAAACAGCTGAGAAGTTAAAATGACATTGCAAGACACTTTACAAGCGGATGATTTAACTTGCCTAAGGTAATGTGAAGATACAGTCCCTTCAGATTGTATATCTTAAGTAACAGGGCAGATGTCACAGAAGCCAGAAAAACTCTACAGACTCCATTTGGACAATAGCAGACTGCATTTGTCAATGAGTTTGTATTGGTGTTTATATCTCACTGGGCCCTCCTGGACATGAGCATTTCTCTAATGTTGTCCTCAGCATCCTTCACGGTGCGCTCCAGGTACGTCTTCCTTTGCTGTGGAGAGGACAGAGGACAGATTAAGTCAACCACTCAATTACCCATCATGACCTCAGAGGGATCATTTCCCTTTTTCATTTCTGGAGATGATGGCAGATCTCTTCACAATACTGGGGAACACCAGAAATGGATACATGTACATGAACATGCCCACACAAAGAGACCTACATACAGAGACACATCCTAAATAGGATTTCCTGAAATTGAAGTGAAATCGAGGGGAATACCATTTAAACCTTTCTGTACAAAGAACTACCCATTCTGTACAAAGAATTACCCAAATATCCACTCCTGGAGCTAGTTTCTATGAAAAGTGACTCTACATTAAGATCTAAGTGGTGTGTGGACAACTGGTGAGCGAGTCAGAGAATGTCAGAGAGTGTGGTTGTGAAACACCCAGTGATAGAGCCAGTCGGCCGTAGAGTCTACCAGCCAGCCAAGATAAACCCACGCCCTCAGGCAGCCTCACTGCCATAAAGGGACTTACAGCATCATTCACTGATAGTTTAGGATTAATTCAACACATGGTCACTGACACAGCAACGCTCTAGACTGGGCACATCATTTATGTTTATATGAATTTATAGGCCTAAAGCCAGTCAATTGATAATAAAGAGTGCTACTACTACTACCTAGTCAGCCATGCTCCACAGAAACATATGGGCCTATATCAGCATATAGGGGGATGTACACTACATGACCAAAAGTATATGGACACCTGCTCGTCGAACATCTCATTCTAAAATCATGAGTAATAATGTGGAGTTGGTCCACCCTTTGCTGCGATAACAGCCTCCACTCTTCTTGGAAGGCGTTCCACTAGATGTTGGAACATTCAGCCACAAGAGCATTAGTGAGGTCGGGCACAGATGTTGGGCGATTAGGCCTGGCTCGCAGTCGGGAGTTCCAATTCATCCCAAAGGTGTTCGATGGGGTTGAGGTCAGGGCTCTGTGCAGGCCAGTCAAGTTCTTCCACACAGACCTTGACAAATCATTTCTGTATGGACCTCACTTTGTGCACGGGGGCATTGTCATGCTGAAACAGGAAAGGGCCTTCCCCAAACAGTTGCTACAAAGTCGGAAGCACAGAATCATCTAGAATGTAATTGTATGCAGTAGCATTAAGATTTCCCTTCACTGGAACTAAGGTGCCTGAACCCAGACCATTATTCCTCCTCCACCAAACTTTACAGTTGGCACTATGCATTGGGGCAGGTAGCGTTCTCCTGGCATCCGCCAAACCCAGATTTGTCCATCGGACTGCCAGATGGTGAAGCGTGATTCATCTCTCCAGAGAATGTTTCCCCTGCTCCAGAGTCCAATGGCAGAGAGCTTTACACCACTCCAGCCGACGCTTGGCATTGCGAATGGTAATCTTAGACTTGTGTGCGGCTGCTCGGCCAAGGAAACCCATTTCATGAAGCTCCCGCCGAACAGTTTTTGTGCTGACATTGCTTCCAGAGGCAGTTTGGAACTCTGTAGTGAGTGTTGCAACAGAGGACAAACAATTTTTACTTGCTAAGCGCTTCAGCACTCGGCGGTGCCGTTCTGTGGCCATTTGTGGCCTACCACTTCGCGGCTGAGCCGTTGTTGCTCCTAGACGTTTCCACATCACAATAACAGCACTTACAGTTGACCAGGGCAGCTCTAGCAGGGCAGAAATTTGACGAACTGACTTATTGGAAAGGTGGCATCCTATGACAGTGTCCACGTTGAATGTCACTGAGCTCTTCAGTAAGGCTATTCTACTGCCAATGTTTGTCTATGAAGATTGCATGGCTGTGTGCTCGATTTTATACACTTGTCAGCAAAGGGTGTGGCTGAAATAGCTGAATCCACTCATTTAAAGGGGTGTCCACATAATTTTGTATGAGACTCAGAATTGAGCTCAGGTGCATCCTGTTTCCATTGATCATCCTTGAGATGTTTCTACAATTTCATTGGAGTCCACCTGTGGTAAATTCAAATTGATTGGACATGATTTGGAAAGGCACACACCTGTCTATATAAGGTCAGAGCATAAACCAAGCCATGAGGTCGAAGGAGTTGTCCGTAGAGCTCCGAGACAGGATTGTGTCGAAGCACAGATCTGGGGAAGCATACCAAAACATTTCTGCAGCATTGAAGGTCCCCAAGAAGACAGTGGAATAAGTTTGGGACCACGAAGACTCTTACTAGAGCTGGCTGCCTGGCAAAACTGAGCAATCAGGGGAGAAGAGCCTTGGTCAGGGAGGTGACCAAGAACCCGATGGTCACTCTGACAGAGCTCCAGAGTTCCTCTGTGGAGATGGGAGAACTTTCCAGAAGGACAACCATCTCTGCAGCACAGGCATTTATGGTAGAGTGGCCAGAGGGAAGCCACTTCTCAGTAAAAGGCACATGACAGCCCGCTTGGAGTTTGACAAAAGGCACCTAAAGAATCTCAGAATATGAGAAACAAGATTGAACTCTTAGGCCTGAATGCCAAGCGTTATGGGGGATTGTGTGTAGAAAACAATCTGCATAATTTGTTGGGTACCCTTCCCCAGATCTGTGCCTCAACACAATCCTGTATCGGAGCTCTACGGACAATTCCTTCGATCTCATGGCTTGGTTTTTGCTCTGACATGCACTGTCAACTGTGGGACCTTATATAGACAGGTGTGTGCCTTTCCAAATCATGTCCAATCAATTGAATTTACCACAGGTGGACCCCAATCAAGTTGTTGAAACATTTCAAGGATGATCAATGGAAACTGGATGCACCAGAGCTCAATTTCGAGTCTCATAGCAAAGGGTCTGAATACTTATGTAAATACGGTATCTGTTGTTTATTTGTTATACATTTGCTAAAATATCTAAAAAACTGTTTTCGCTTTGTCATTATGGGGTATTGTGTGTAGATTGATTAGATGTTTTTATTTATTTAATCAATTTTAGAATAAGGATGTAACATAGCAAAATGTGGAAAAAAGGAAGGGGTCTGAATACTTTAGGAATGCACTGTATCAACACAGATGAGCCCAAAACCACAGTTATAAATCAGTGCAATATATATATTTTTATACCCAGACATGTCCCTGTGTCATCCTGCTCCTGTTCTGGGGCATAGGAGGTCTGTGTGGAGTAAGACAGGCTCAACTGTTTCGAGCAGGACCTCCCAGGTGTCCACAGAAGTTACACTTCCCTTTGTTTGCGTAGAACACAACCACAGTAGCTCCCTTGTATGATCATTCCTTGTCCTTTGATACACAAGGCCCAATGGAGCACATGACACAACATCCCTTCCCTGAAATATACAGTTGTATTCTACTTTGCACTTATGTTACATTGAAGAGTGGAAAGGTGCCTATTGATCCAACAACAAGTGGCACCAAACCAACTGCTGATTGATATAACAAAGGGAAATCCCACTGAACCCAATGCTTGTTTCCACAAGGAGGAAACTAGGAACTGCTCTTCTGGTCGATTGCAGACAAAGGACCCCAGTGAGAAGCATTTGTTTTAAAAAGTTCCAGCGGACGCCATTCTTTGTGACCAATATTTCCTATGGTACAGGGTGGTGTATGGGAGTTTTGTCCCCACAGGCCATGTTCTTGACAGGCCAGGCTGGAAAGTCATTCTGACACCCTAACATCATACATCTCACACCACAGGTTCAATCAAGGTCTTTGACACTAGTTGTTAGGGTAATAAATTCCATGTTAGTTGAATTGGTCATTAAACGTCTAATAAGGAGTGCATTTCTATGTACTTCAGAAATAGAGAAATGGGAATGAAACCCCAACTCAATACCCAGGAAAAGCTATTTGTGTCTGCTAAAACATGAGTAAGGATCAGCTCTTGGAGTTCCACTTAAAGATGCTACAGAGAAGTTGTGGGAGTGTTTAAGTCTCGGTGTCACTTTGTATATCTACACACTTAGGGGAGAGAATTCCATGCATGCTGCGATAGAGAGATGCTTTTCTCAGTCTCTTCCTTCATGGCCTGATAACCCAGTGTCACTGTCAAGTTGCTTAAAATAGACACAGGGCCGTTCACACAGCCACAGACTTCATAAGGGAAGAACACGTGTATATTTTAGAAGTTAATTATATACTATTTGCACCATTTGTATTTGGCAAACATGAGAAGTCTGTTTTTTCAGATATCTGTTACAACCCGATATAAAAATGCCCTTAAGCCATCATTCATTTGAATTAGACTGGTCTCAAATATGAATGGCATACATGGTACAGAAAATGTTACAGGGTATATTGGAGACCGCAAAAAGAAAACAAACATCCGTCTCTGATTTTTTTTAAAGAGCGGCTTTCCACAAATGGAAATAATGCAATAACTGGTTTTAGGACACACCGTGCATTGACTACAACATCTACAGTAGGGTTTGGGTCAATTCAGAAAGTGACTGGAAATTCAACTTGTGTATTTTAAAATCCCTAATTGAAAACTGCAATTGATGAGTTGCATTTCAATTCACATCCTTAATTGAGTGAATTTAAAAGTGAATTGATCCCAACACTACAAGACCATTAAACTAAGTGGGAGAGATAAAGGCTTGAACCTTTTAAATATTCAAAAGTGTATGGATATGTGTGCACACATAGGCCTATCTGTGTCAATATTACTGCATACCTCAAGCTCCTTAATTTTCTCATCTGCTGTCTTCTGTTTGTAAGTCAGCTGTGTGTTGATATCTTCTTTAGACTGCAAGATGAACCTGAGAGAGAGCGAGAGAGAGAAGAGCATGAAGTCAGAGTGCGAGTAGTCTCGAAAACACAACCCTAGGCAACAGCAAAGACTAGGGTCTGGTTTGTTTCAATGACGGTCTCTTTTAGCATAGAGCAGGGGTCTCCAACAGGTCGATCGCAAGCTACCAGTAGTTCTCAGCCCACATATGAGTAGCTCGCCAAACAATTCAGAAAGTACATGCAATATTTCATGTTTTCCACCGCAAACTGTTATAAACAAATCTCACAAGTATCAGACACCACAAGCTGCCAGCTACTATCTAATCAACGCAACATTGATATTATCCCACCCCTGGTTAGCCACTATTGGCTTAAAAAGCCAAACATAACACAATATCTGCTAATTAATTTCCAGCAATTTTGCCCGTCTGTGGTGTATGCGTTTGTCTATCACTCCGTGTGTAGACAGTTGATGTGATACTTTAAACAACAATTAAATGTTAAGTAGGCTCACCTGGCAGAAGTATATCATTTGTGTCTATTATTTGTTATTTGCAAACTTAGCCATGAAATGAGCAGCAGCAGTACAGAACCATTGACCGGCACATTTCTATTCGCTAGATGCACATTTAAAGGGGAATTACACACCAAAAAATAGCAATCTTCGTTTTCTTCAAGACCTAAAAAACGGTATTCTAATGTGATTCCTCCCGTTGTCCTAGGGTCAAAATGACCCACCACTGTGTTGAACCAACTTTATTTAATTTTTATATTTTGGGGATCATTTGTGAGAAGGAGGCAGTGAGACTTTAAAGAAAGTATCACTGCCTCCTTCTCACAAATGATCCCAAAAATATAAAAATTAAATAAAGTTGGTTCAACACAGTGGTGGGTCATTTTGACCCTAGGACAACGGGAGGGTTAAGCATTGACATGGACGACTCAGAATATCCTATTTAGTTTTTTCTCTATGAACAATTGTAATTTTGAGTGAAAAACAAAACATCTAAAACCATGAAAAATAAAAACATCAAACATAATTTGGGAGAAGAAAAAAATCAAATATTTTATAGGGCCCCGATTAGAGTTGCTATTAACCATTTATTTCCAGGTATATTGACAGAAACAATGGTGCACTAATTTCTCTTGTACACTAAGGACCCGGGGAAGAGTTGCAGGGGAGAGGAGAAGAGAAGAATGTGCCTACTTGAAAGGTAGAGAAAAAAAGTAGCTCTCATGCTAGAAAACGTTGGAGACCCCTGGCATAGAGGAACTAATTCACGTCACTACCTTATCCACTTGAATAGAATACCAAATAGTAGCTAGCACGATGGAGATCACAGAGGTCATTTTTAATGAGTGCATTTTGCAAGTGGCTAGTTTGCATCAACTACCTTCACTAAAACCACTGCAAAGGTTTTGCCTGCAAACTTTGGTTTCTGCCTTGTGATTTGTTGTGATGGCCCACCCCGGAGAAAAATTGCTTCCCCTTATCGAAGTTGCCAAAAGAGTCCGGAATTGAAACCAGACCCTAGTCTCCGCTGTTGCCTAGGGGCGGGTTTTCGAGACTAGGGTGCGAGGGGAGAAGCCTTTCACACGAATGAAACAATGAAACATTTTGAAAAAAATAACGTAAACCCTTGTTATGCTAACAAAAGGGAATAACAACACACATTGAATTCCAGATAAATTGGGTCACAAATAGAAACGAGAAGTAAAATGTTGTGAACATGTTGCCTAATGGTGGACTGAGGTGCTATTGTTTAGGGCAGGGATGGGCAATTGAATGCCCGCAGCCCCCCTTTTGTAGGACCAATAAAAACTCAGTCGGGGTCTCAACTTACTGTTGAGAGTTAGAATAATATACATTTGGTTGTGCATCAGCAGTCACTCAATTAGCCCATGTCAGCTAAATTGTTTTAGATTGGTAAGTTAGTCTAGCGGCCAGCTATGTAAAGTTGTAGTAAGCATGGTCGAATTACCGACCGTGGTGGGGCCCATTGATCATCAGTTATCATATTAAAAACGGCAAACATTTGCCTCCACCCTATGGCAAAATGTGTAGAATTGCAGAAAATCAACTTTAAAGGTTTTTTTTTTTTTTTTTTTTGCTGTCACGAGGGGGACACTAAAATGTTTTGCTCACAAGGTGGGAGGGGGGTATGGATGTGGGTACGCAGACACACAAGCAGTTTTTTTTGTGGCCCCCGATCCCCATCAAATGTGCATTTCCCTGGTTTAGTGATAAGACAGTACACTAACTATACAAGTCTCAACAAAGGACATTGATGAAGTAGAGGGAATTGAGACCAATTGAGGGTCACCACAGACACACAGGTAGTGAACGTGAATGAGGGTTTGTGGCATGGGTAACTGAGTAAGAACCCCTCTCTGCACACCCCATCACCATCTGAAATGTCATGGGTCGCAAGGGCATGGATATGAGGAGGGTCATTTCATTAAGCTGTTACCACAGCGACTTCAGGGCTCTATGTGTTGTGGGTTTCCCCTGACATCCAGGCTAATGTTTTCACATTGTGATGTGAGACTTATGCAGGGATCTGTGGAGAGGATGAGACCTTTAAATTCAAATTAGTGGAGTCAGCTATTTCAGCCACACCCGTTGCTGACAGGTGTATACAATCGAGCACACAGTCATGCAATCTCCATAGACAAACATTGGCAGTAGAATGGCCTTACTGAGGAGCTCAGTGACTTTCAACGTGGCACTGTCATAGGATGCCACCTTTCCAACAAGTCAGTTCATCAAATTTCTGCCCTGCTAGAGCTGCCCCGGTCAACTGTAAGTGCTGTTATTGTGAAGTGGAAACGTCTAGGAGCAACAACAGATCAGCCGCGAAGTGGTAGGCCACACAAGCTCACAGAACGGGACCGCTGAGTGCTGAGGCATGTAAAAATAATCTGTCCTCGGTTGCAACACTCCGAGTTCCAAACTGCCTCTGGAAGCAATGTCAGCACAATAACTGTTCATCGAGAGCTTCATGAAATGGGTTTCCATGGCAGAGCAGCCGCACAGAAGCCTAAGATCACCATGCGCAATGCCAAGCGTCAGCTGGAGTGGTGTAAAGCTCACCGCCATTGGGCTCTGGAGCAGTGGAAACACGTTCTCTGGAGTGATGAATCAAGCTTCACCATTTGACAGTCCGATGGACGAATCTGGGTTTTGGCAGATGCCAGGAGAACACTACCTACCCCAATGCATAGCGCCAACTGTAAAATTTGGTGGACGAGGAAAAATGTCTGGGACTGTTTTTCATGGTTCGGGCTAGGCCCCTTAGTTCCAGTGAAGGGAAATCTTAACGCTACAGCATACAATGACATTCTAGACAATTCTGTGCTTCCAAATTTGTGGCAACAGTTTGGGGAAGGCCCTTTCCTGTTTCAGCATGACAATGCCCCCGTGCACAAAGCGAGGTCCATGGAGAAATGGTTTGTCCAGATCGGTCTAGAAGAACTTGACTGGTCTGCACAGAGCCCTGACCTCAACGCCATCAAACACCTTTGGGGTGAATTGGAATACCGACTGCGAGCCAGGCCTAATCGCCCAACATCAGTGCCCGACCTCACTAATGCTCTTGTGGCTGAATGGAAGCAAGTCCCTGCAGCAATGTTCCAACATCTAGTGGAAAGCCTTCCCAGAAGTGGAGGCTGTTATAGCAGCAAAGGGGGGACCAACTCCATATTATTGCCCATGATTTTGGAATGAGATGTTCGACGAGCAGATGTCCACATACTTTTGGTCATGTAGTGTATGTTTTGATTTCTAAGACATTCTAAGGTTTGTATCATTCACAACTAAAGTTGCCAAATAACTCTAAATCTAGCATATATGTTTCAAATGATCACTTTTACGCTCACTTCATATGCGCACTCGCTCCGTAATGGGACAAATATCCTTTCTATTTTATTCAGCTAAGTTCAATTATATTCTTCTTACTATAAAATCATATAAAATAAAACAATGGCACGGGACTTATAAGCATATCTTGTCGGCTAAATGAACAAGCCTACAGCCTATGGCATTGAGCATAGCCAGATAACTAACATACAGTAGGCCAACTCATATTCTGTTCTTCTGAAATACATTTTCTTCATATCACAATGTTTCTTTAGACCTGACTAAAATAAATCATGGATTTATTGTGATGGTGTATATTAAATTGATTTATTAAGAGTTTTTTTTATGTAGATGTTCCAAAGGCGTGCATTAGGGGCCTGGAGATGCTAAACGTGTTCATGTTAATTAACTGTCATTTACCGTGAGGCCGGCTTTCTTTTGCATGACAATAACCGGCTGACAATTTCATGGCCCGCCACAGCCCTAGTCGGGGTTGCGAGAATTTTCAGATATCAAAATGGGGTTGTGGGCTCAAAAGGTTTGGGAACCCCTGCAGAGTATATGACCACAAGATGAAAAGTCATCTACAACAGTGGTTCCCAAACTGTGGGGCTCGCCCCCTAGAATTGCAAGAAAATGTGTTTTAAAACTGCAAAATATTATTTGCACCCCATGACAGTGTAGAATTGCAGGAAATACGCTTTAAACGTGCAAAATTCTCTCCACCAACAAGATTTGGGAACCCCTGATCTACAACACCCATTATAACTAGTTTTTTAAAATACCATTTCATGTCATTACTCATAACTATTTATAACTACTTATGACAGGTTATGACAAATGTTATAGTGCGTTATATATCTGTCATAAAGGCTATATGAATGCATACATAAGGACACCTACAGTAAAGTGTTACCTATGTTTCTTCATGGGAAGTGTTCTCTTAGTGAATTCTGATAGTAAACAGCCAGAGAATACTACTCACATGCGTCCTACTCCTTCATACATGCGGGTGTTGTCTGGTAGGGTTTTTATTTCTGCATGTGTCAGGTTGGCATGTTTCTTCATGCGAGTGAGCTGGTCGATCTGAAGATCTGCCAGTTTCGCCTTTTGTTGTGTGTCAATCATTTTCGATTGCAGCTCTGCAAAGGCCTGCATGAACAAATAAGACAGCATTATTTCAAACCTCAAAATCATACCGGAGTTCCAATACAACACATATTTGAAGTCTTAAAAATCGTTTGAACAATTGCTTTAGGCTGCCTGGAGTGCTCGGTGGGTGGGGTTTACACTTTTCTATTGGTTCTATTGCAACAGGCAAGCTCAAGACTAGCATAGCTTCAGTAAGTATTTGAAATGATTGCAAATAGTGAACCTTGGTCTGGTCAAAATTATTGATGATCCCATTGTCCTATCACTGAGGAACCATCTTTGCTCATTACAGTTAGCGTTAGTTACCAGGCTAGCTAGAACAGCCTTGTGCTTTTACTTGTATTAGTTTTGTTTGACCAGCTAGGTCTAATATTGGCTGATGAAAATTAAAGTGATGACTAATTGTGTCAAATCTCATTTTCATCTAGTTAGTATCTACACTGTAGCTAGATAGCTAACCTAACTGCCACGATCTTAGCTAGCTAACTGACAGTGCATGAATTCAGAAACTAACGTTGGCTAGCTAGCTAACCTTAGCGCACAAGCCATGCAGCATGACTCAATCACATCTTAACGCTTTGTTATAAATAACACATACATCATTTTGAAAACACTTGAATCATGTCGCCGTTAACTTAACTTATTCTACTATTGTATTTAATATAAATAATTAAAAGAGGGTTAAATGATTTACCTTCTTCAGCTCTAAATCTATGGGGGTCGCCATGTTGAACACAACGAGAACGTAACAGCAAACCACGCCCATAAAAGTAGCCTTCCCTTCCTGCATTGCACAGCCGGCCCAGAGACGTACTTTTATTATGCATAATGTTATTTGACAGATGGATGAAAAACATTTGGTTTATGGTTGGCACACTGTCATAGTTTGTCAGCATCAGCAAAGCTGTAATAAATGTAATCTGTATGTGAGAGTACTATGGCCTCTGCCTTGAGGGCAAGACCTTTATGGTACAGATGGTAGTGCACTCAGCCTGTGAATCAAATCAAATCAAATGTTATTGGTCGCATACACATATTTAGCAGATGTTATTGCGGGTGTAGCGAAATGATTATGTTCCTAGCTCCAACAGTGCAGTAATAGCTATGTGTACAAAACAATAAACGCAAATCTACAAAGTATGGAATTAATTAATATAGAAATATTAGGATGACTAATGTCAGAGTCCAGAATATAAATACAGCGCATTCGGAAAGTATTCAGGCCCCTTGACCTTTTCCACATTTTGTTACGTTACAGCCTTATTCTAAAATGGATTAAATCGTTTTTTCCACTCATCAATCTACACACAATACCCCATAATGATGAAGCAAAAAATGGTTTTTAGAAATTAGCAAACTTATTATAATAATAATAACATAATTGCAAAAGGGATTTCTAATGATCAATTAGACTTTTAAAATGATAAACTTGGATCAGCAAACACAACGTGCCATTGGAACACAGGACTGATGGTTGCTGATAATGGGCCTCTGTACGCCTATGTAGATATTCCATTAAAAACCAGCCATTTCCAGCTACAATAGCCATTTACAACATTAACAATGTCTACACTGTATTTCTGATCAATTTGATGTCATTTTAATGGACAAAAAAATTGCTTTTATTTCGAAAACAAGGACATTTCTAAGTGACCCCTAACTTTCGAACGGTAGTGTATATGATGGGATGTATAGACATTATGGACAGTATATGGATAGAATATGTAGTATATCTGTAGATTATGTAGGATAGAATAGTATATGTACAGCAATAGTTAAATAGGGTAGTCCTTGACTAGAATACAGTATATACATATGAAGTGGGTAAAACAGTATGTAAACATTATTCAAGTGACCAGTGTTCCATGACTATGTACAGTCTCTAAGGTGCAGGGTGGTAGCCGGCTAGCGACAGTGGCTAAAGTTCAGGGCAGGGTACTGGGCAGAGGCCGGCTAGTGGTGACTATTTAACAGTCTGATGGCCTTGAGATAGAAGCTGTTTTTCAGTCTCTTGGTCCCAGCTTTGGTGCACCTCTACTGTTTCCGCCTTCTACATGGTAGCGGGGTGAACATGCCGTGGCTCTGGTGGCTGAGGTCCTTAATGATCTTCTTGGCATTCCTGTGACATCGGATGCTGTAGATGTCCTGGAGGGCAGGCAGTGTGCCCCCGGTGATGCGTTGGGTAGACCGCATCATCCTCTGGAGAGCCTTGCGGTTGTGGACGGTGCAGTTGCCGTACCAGGCAGTGATACAGCCCGACAGGATTCTCTCAATGGTGCATCTGTAGAAGTTTGTGAGGGTCTTAGGGGCCAAGCCGAATTTCTTCAGCCTGCTGAGGTTGAAGAAGGCTGTTGCACCTTCTTCACCACACTGTCTGTGTGGATGGACCATTTCAGATTGTCAGTGATGTGTACGCCGAGGAACTTTACGTTTTTCACCTTCTCCACTGCGGCCCCATCGATGTGGCTGAGGGTGTGCTCCCTCTGCTGTCTCTTAAAGTCCACAGGGTATTAAAAAACATTTTGAGAAAAATAAAAAACTCCATATACTTTAAAATTTTGCCGCATGGCAAAATTACTAAAACCAAATCAAAACTGTGTAGAAATGATCATTTTTCCACATTCTGTTACGTTACAGCCTTATTCTAAAATTGATTAAATAAAATAAAATCCTCATCTATCTACACACAATACCCCATAATGACAAAGTGAAAACAGGTTTTTAGACATTTTTGCAAATTGATTAAAAATAAGAAACAAAAATACCTTATTTACATAAGTATTCAGACGCTTTGCTATGAGACTCAAAATTAACCTCAGGTGCATCCTGTTCCCATTGATCATCCTTGAGGTGTTTCTACAACTTGATTGGAGTCCACCTGTGGTAAATTCAATGGATTGGAGATGATTTGGAAAGGCACACACCTGTCTATATAAGGGCCCACAGTTGACAGTGCATGTCAGAGCAAAAACCAAGCCATGAGGTCAAAGGAATTGTCCGTAGAGCTCAGAGACAGGTCGTGTCGAGGCACAGATCTGTGAAAGGGTACCAAAACATTTCCGCAGCATTGAAGGTCCCTGAGAACACAGTGGCCTCCATCTTTCTTAAATAGAAGACATTTGGAACCACCAATACTCTTCCTACAAGGCACCTAAAGGACACAGACCATGAGAAACAAGATTCTATGGTCTGATGAAACCAAAATTGAACTCTTTGGCCTGAATGCCAAGTGTCACATCTGGAGGAAACCTGGCACCATCCCTACGGTGAAGCATGGTGGTGGCAGCATCATGCTGTGGGGATGTTTTTCAGTGGCAGGGACTGGGAGACTAGTCAGGATCGAAGGAAAGATGAAAAGTACAGAGAGATCCTTGATGAAAACCTGCTCCAGAGCACTCAGGACCTCAGACTGGGGCAAAGATTCACCTTCCAACAGGACAATGACCCTAAGCACACAGCCAAGACATTGCAGGAGTGTCTTCGGGACAGAGCCCGGACTTGAACCCTATCTAACATCTCTGGAGAGACCTGAAAATAGCTGTGCAGTGACGCTCCCTGTCCAACCTGACAGAGCTTTTTTTATTTTATTTTATATAACTAGGCAAGTTAGTTAGGAAAAGTTCTTATTTACAATGACGGCCTACCAAAAGGCAAAAGGCCTCCTGCGGGGATGGGGGCTGGGTTTAAAAATAAAAAATATAGGACAAAACACGACGAGAGACACCACAACACTACATAAAGAGAGACCTAAGACAACAACATAGCATGGCAGCAACACATGACAACACAGCATGGTAACAACCCCACATGACCACAACATGGCAGCAGCACAACATGGCCTCCTGTAGCTCAGTTGGTAGAGCATGGCGCTTGCAACGCCAGGGTTGTGGGTTCGATTCCCACGGGGGGCCAGTATGAAAAAGATGTATGCACTCACTAACTGTAAGTCGCTCTGGATAAGAGCGTCTGCTAAATGACTAAAATGTAATGGTAGCAGCACAAAACATGGTACAAACATTATTGGGCACAGACAACAGCACAAAGGCAAGAAGGTAGAGACAACAATACATCATGCGAAGCAGCCACAACTGTCAGTAAGAGTGTCCATGATTGAGTCTTTGAATGAAGAGATGGAGATAAAACTGTCCAGTTTGAGTGTTTTTTGCAGCTCGTTCCAGTCGCTAGCTGCAGCGAACTGAAAAGAGGAGTGATCCAGGGATGTGTGTGCTTTGGGGACCTTTAACAGAATGTGACTGGCAGAACGGGGGTTGTATGTGGAGTTTGAGGGCTGCGGTAGGAGAGGATCTGCAGAGAAGAATGGGAGAAACTCCACAAATACAGATGTGCCAAGCTTGTAGCGTCATACCCAAGAAGACTCGAGGCCGTAATCGCTACCAAAGGTGCTTCAACAAAGTACTGAGTAAAGGGTCTGAATACTTATGTAAATGTGATATTTCAGTTTTTATTTGTAATAAGTTAGCAAAAATGTCTAAAAACCTGTTTTTGCTTTATCATTATGGGGTATTGTGTGTAGATTGATGAGAAAAAAACCCAATTTAATACATTTTAGAATAAGGCTGTAATGTAACAAAATGTGGAAAAAGTCAAGGGGTCTGAATACTTTCCAAATGCACTGTATATTCATACAGTTTGTTGCATGTTCAGCTCACTAACAATCACTGTGCGCAGTCAATGGACCTATATTCATACGGTTTCTTGACTGTCCAGCTCGCTAATAATTACTAGACAGTCAGTGAGCATCGAAACAATTTTAAACGATGGATAGAGGACTATTTATTTATTTATTTTGACGGCAAGGAAATATTTTGTACAAATTTTGCAGCCCTGCGGACCTCGTTGAAGACCGAATGTGGCCCCCGGGGCAAAATGAGTTTGGCACCCCTGATATAAAGTTGAACAGGCCATTATCGTTGCGTAATAAAAAGACCCTCACTCTGTCACTAGATTCTCAGGGATGTGCATCTGCCTTCAGTTTGACCTTCTCCTCATTGTCCTCAAGGTTGTATTCACTCAATTAGCCCATGTCAGCTAACAGTTTTTTTATTTAGTCTAGCCAGCTGTCTAAACTTGTAGTAATCATGGTCGAATTACCGACCCGGGGGGCCCCATTGATTTTGTTAGTAACTCTCACTCAGATATCATATTAAAAACTGCAAAATGTATCTTCACCCTACGGCAAAATACGTTGAATTTTTGGAAATTAGCTGTAAAACTGCACACTTTTCTCTCTGCCCCATTGCAAAATAAGTAGAATTGCATGAAATGAGTTATAAAATAGCAAAATCCTCTCTCCACTCCATGGCAGAAGGTGTAGAATTGCAACAAACGTAATTTAAAACTGCAACATTTTATCTAAGTCGCATGACAAAATATGTAGAATTGCAGGAAATGAACTCTAAAACGTTAAGATGCAATATGCAGAAATCGCTTCACCATTTCCTGGTTGCTAAAATTCTAATAGTTTGCCTAATTTCAGTTTATGTGACAAAACAAGCAGGTATAGTGTACCATCTAAACCGCTGTGAAATATATTTTTCATAACAAAAAATATTGTATTTTCAGCTGTTTGAAGCTGGTGTACAAAACCAAAAGTAAAAGATGCAAAAACAAAACTTAAAAGGAAAACTCTTAAAGGCAAGCATACCCTTATGATGTATTTTGCATAGAAATAGCACACATAGAACAGATCTACCACTTTTTAGATTTGCTTTCAATGAGAATGACAGATCGATAACTCACATTTCTATGTGAATTTGGTTAAGTCACCCAAAAAGTAACATATTGCAGTTAAAACAATTTTTCTCTCCGCTGTCGAGAGGGGGGCCGCTAAAATGTTTTGCTCTGACTGCATGTGCGGGTATGGTTGTTGGTACGCAGACCCAAGAGCCACTGCGACCCCACATGATGAGTTCAGATTTATTTGTGGCACCCACCCCATCAATGTTGCCATCCCTGGTCTAGAGGGTTTATTGTATGTGGTAACTTCATGCAGGAGAGAGGCAGCCATGATGATCTTTTATTTTTCATCATTTTGTAGAGTGGAGATTGATTAATTTCAGTTTGACATTTCATGCCTACTTTTTTATCAAAACCAGTTTTTAACTATGTATGTTGCTGGTTATTATTACATTTGAATAACTGTATTATAAGTTGAAAATATTACGTTAAGTTTCAAACCATACAATATGTAGAGCAGTAGTAGTAACAACCTGACATTGGGGAATTGAGAAAAATACTAGGAAATGTATTATACAGTAGCAGAAAAATAGTACAAAATTGAATATATCCACATATAGACAGGGGTTCCTCTTCTTACCATTGCCCTTTCTCTTGCCCTGCCTTCTCCTGTCTGTGAAGGGGGGCACCGGCAGATCTTTCGGTTGGGTGGAAAATGCCACTGGAGATAAGCGGGAGAGAGGAAAGTAAAATAATGTACAACATATTTATACAATATAATATACACTGAGTATACAAAACATTAAGAACACCTGCTCTTTCCATAACATAGTCTGACCAGGTAAATCCAGGTGAAAGCTATGATCCCTTATTGATGTCACTTGTTAAATCCACGTCAATCAGTGTAGATGAAGGGGAGGAGACAGGCTAAAGAATGATGTTTAAGCCTTGAGACAATTGAGACATGGATTGTGTATGTGTGCCATTCAGAGGGTGAATGGGCAAGACCAAAACATTTAAGTGCCTTTGAACAGGGTATGGCAGTAGGTGCCAGGTGCACAGGTTTGTGTCAAGAACTGCAACGCTGCTGGGTTTTACACGCTCAACAGTTTCCCGTGTATCAAGAATGGTCCTCAAACCGAAGGCCATACAGCCAACTTGTGGAACGCTTTCGACACCTTGTAGAGTCCATGCCCCGACAAATTGAGGCAACTCAATATTAGGAAGGTGTTCTTTATGTTTGGTATACTCAGTATATAAGATCCCTTTACATTGTAAATAGGTTTACTACTAAACTATGTGAATCTTTGAACACAGTTTCCCACAAAACGTTTTAGATGAGAGAGGCTGATGAATACGTATTAATAAACTGTGGTAAACTACTGTACCTCTTGGAAATTGCATTCCATAATCCCCAGACCGATGGTCGTCTTCACCGTGTTCATAATAGTATCCCTCCTCCTTGTCATATTCCACCTGTTCGTCGGTTATTTTGTTATCATTGTGGAGGAGACTGTCCACAGATATCTGGGCAGGAGACTTATCTTCCTGCCTGTCAGTGGCATTGGCACCACTGGATAGCCTGAAAGACACTGGAGACACACATGGGGAAACTTTTATTTGAATACTATTAGGGAATAAGATTGAACGCAGCCACACAAAGTAATCCCTCCCGAGTCAAGGCAAAAAGAGTCAGAGGAAACATATGCTCTGACTCCAGTTAATTTACATTTTAATACTAGGCTATACACCTATTTTATAATCATGTTATAAATGTTTATATATATCATATATTATATATTCCTAGAATATACGCCCATGATTAGCCTATACATTGTTATGACTATAGGCTGGGCTATGTAATATAACCTACACCAAGATAAACAGACCGCTGCAACATTTTAACAGTCCCAGCTAACTCAACGGATCCATGGAAGATAAAAAGCGCAAATATGAGATATACAATGTTCATGGCTGTTTTTTTGGAGCCACTGATAATAAACTCAATGCTCCATAAACCTTTTTAACTCAATTGCACGGCACCATGTATGCCGGTAAAAAGTTTCTCTGTCCAGGAAAGGTGTCGCTGCTTCTCAGTTAGTGGCCTCTCTATCACAGTGCTTGGCACACAATTTTGAAAAATAACTGTTCATTCCCCTGTGGCGCAATAATCCTATGTATGTTGTCGTCCAATGACCCATGGCCACACCTTTCAATAACGGAGGCAGAGCCTAAACTGTAAAGTATGAATTTCATGGCAGACACACTACATATACAAAAGTATGTGGACACCCCTTGAAATTAGTGGATTCGGCAATTTCAGCCACACCCGTTGCTGACAGGTGTCTAAAATCGAGCGCACAGCCATGCAATCTCCATAGACAAACACTGGCAGTAGAATGGCCTTACTGAAGAGCTCTGTGACGTCATAGGATGCCACCTTTCCAATAAGTAAGTTTGTCAAATTTCTGCCCTGCTAGAGCTGCCCCGGCCAGCTGTAAGTGCTGTTATTGTGAAGTGGAAACATCTATGAGCATCATCGGATGAAATGGGTTTCCATGGCCGAGCAGCCTAAGATTACCATGCGCAGTGCCAAGTGTCGGCTGGAGTGGTGTAAAGCTTGCCGCCATTGGACTCAGGAGCAGTGGAAACGTGTTCTCTGGAGTGATGAATCACGCTTCACCATCTGGCAGTCCAATGGACGAATCTGGGTTTGGCGGATGCCTGGAGAACACTACCTGCCCCTCTGCATAGTGCCAACTGTAAAGTTTGGTGGAGGAGGAATAATGGTTCGGGCTAGGCCCCTTAGTTCCAGTGAAGGGAAATCTTAACGCTACAGCATGCAATGACATTCTAAACGATTCTGTGCTTCCAACTTTGTGGCAACAGTTTGGGGAAAAACCTTTCCAGTTTCAGCATGACAATGCCCTCGTGCACTAAGTGAGGCCCATACAGAAACGGTTTGTCGAGATGGGTGTGGAAGAAGTTGACTGGCCTGCACAGAGCCCTGACCCCAACGAACACCTTTGGGATGAATTGGAACGGCAACTGCGAGCGAGGCCTAATCGCCCAACCTCACTAATGCTCTTGTGGCTGAATAGAAGCAAGTCCCTGCAGCAATGTTCAAACATCTAGTGGAAAGCCTTCCCAGAAGAGTGGAGGCTGTTATAGCAAAGTGGGGCCAACTCCATATTAATGCCCAAGAATTTGGAATGAGATGTTCGACGAGCAGGTGTCCACATACTTTTGGTCATGGACTGTATCATATAGGCCTATTCAATGAGTGGACATTCAAATGTTACTTCTGACATTACGCAGCCTCCACCACAATGACAGGTACCGTGCTGCGTTATCCTATAATAAAGGAATCCTTTACAGTAGACCTAATAATCATTTGAAGACTTTAAATGTTTTTGAGGATAGAAGTTGATGGAATAGTCAAAAAGATTAGACAAGCTAGGTGGGCACATCAACAGGTAGGCCTACAGTCGATATTGGCACAAATACTGGCGCGTGTTCTGCAATGCTCTGAGCTCAAGGTTCTGATAGGTGTTAGGTGGTACGCACCTTGCATTACTGAATGGTATTCCTAAACTCTTGAACATGTGCTTAAGATAGCGTCGAATTATGGCCCTAGGGAATGGTTTAGCCTAGAAAGTGCAACTGAGGAAAATAGGGCAAAAGCACCACCCAGTGTTAGAATGGGGCAGATACAGGAACAAAGGCCTGTCTTCGGCCAATTGAAAATCTAACAGTAGAATGCCAAATGAGCATCCTTTTTATTCCAGTACTAGCCTTTAGCTGCATCTGGGAAACCAGCCCATGGTGTTTAGTCCTACACCACTATATAATGCCCCAAAACATATTGCTTTATAAAGGAGACAAAATAATCAATCAGTGAATAAATGTTTATTAACGATCTCATTAGCAGAATCAAAACAGTGAGCGGGGTTGAGACATTAATGTTTAAAACGGTTAGCAATTTGTAGTGAGTCAACAAAAATAATATCCTGTTTATAAAAAGAGGCAAATTCAACATGCTCTTTATTATAGAAATCCCTCTGGCTCAAACCAAGTGTATAGGAACCATGAAAAAGGAGCAAAACATTGTTGCAGACACCGAGGAGTAATTACAAGCAGTCATGATTACCATATTTACAAAAGCACACGTGGCTTCACAAACAGCATCCAGTCATTCAGAGTTGAACTACAGGTATAACTAGGGTGGAACCAAAATCCGTCACCCCATGCCATCTCATTCACAATACCAAAAACATAACACACTGGCTCCAATGATAAGTTTAAGAAAGGCTGGGGTAAAAACGTGTCCTCCCCTCATCTTTCATACATTAGAATTAAACCACCCCAATCTGTACAAAATCTGTAACCATCTCAAAAAAATAAACATTTTGCCAACAGCGGAGCACCCCCCTGGAACTCTTATATGCCCCATCCGGCTCCCATGCTACCGTTCATGCCCATGGAGCCGCGGCTGCTGCCATAGTAACTGCTGCTCATCCCGCTCTGATTACCTAACAGGAGAAAGAAATATCCACATTAGGACCGACGCAGGCTTACCTTCTCCAATACAAAACTACGCAACAACACGCATGGATGCACATCACAATGGTCAAATGTAAACAAGGTGGGAGACAAAGTCAGAGACATTGACACAGCAGCGGTACTTTTCTTGGTTAACCATAGGGCGAAACAATTCAGTTATTTACCGACCGCAAATCTCTTTGATAGCAAACGGGACGCTGTCTCAAAAACAGGAAGGTGTCAATGTTTACATTGATGTTCTATGATGTCTCCACTTTCCAAACGATATGACCACGTATTTTGGTAAGAGATACAAATAGTGAACTATGTAGTGCCAGGAGTTATTCTCATCTGTTATGGAGTTTAACTAGGGCTTAATGTTTGTAACAACTAGGGCTGTGGTGGCATAAAATGTATTCAGCCGGTGATTGTCAAGCATTAACAGCTGGCGATAGAACCCAAATTAATACAACCACACGCATTAAAAAACCTTTTAAAAGCAATGAGGCTGATGCAACAGATCAGAACGTTTAGCTTAAAGTGTTTATAAACTATTAGGCCATTTCTTCACATTATAAGCCAGCAATACACACACGGCAGTAGGCTGTAAGCACGAATGTTCCAAAATGCAATCAATTGGCGGGAAAACACTTCTCTAAAGTCACCGCAAATGCTATTATGCATGTAATGCTTAATTATAAAAGGTACATTTTTATTGTTAAATTTATCTTCCCCAAACTTGACTCACATGCTGTGTATGTATGTATGTCAGTTAGGCTCCACACTGGCTGTAAAACAGATTAATGTGCTTAATTTTAAGAAGTTATTTGGCCACTTTAGTTCTGATAAACCTTATCAAAACATACAGGCCTATGGACTAGACTACATGCATGATGCGTGTGACTATGATTTGAAAGTCGCAAAAAAAGGCATGAGCTGTTTGCCTTACTGCACACATTGGGCATCATTCAAAAGTGATAATACATCATTCACAAGTGATAGGCTAATACTGTCACCATTCACACTATTCTTAATTGAATGTTGTCTTTACATATAGTACCAGTCAAAAGTTTGGACACACCTACTCATTCCAGGGTTTCTCTTTATTTTTACTGTTTCCTACATTGTAGAATAATAGTGAAGAAATCAAAACTGTGAAATAACACATATGTAATTATGTAGTAACCAAATAAAAAGTGTTAAACAAATCAAAATATATTTTATATTTGAGATTCTTCAAAGTAGCCACCCTTTGCCTTAATGACAGCTTTGCACACTAATGGCATTCTCTCAACCATTTGAGCCAATCAGTTGTGTTGTGACAAGGTAGGGGGGGTATACAGAACATAGGCCTATTTGGTAAAAAACCAAGTCCATATTATGGCAAGAACAGCTCAAATAAGCAAAGAGAAACGACAGTCCATTCCTTTAAGACATGAAGGTCAGTCAATACGGAAAATGTCAAGAACTTTTAAAGTTTCTTCAAGTGCAGTGGCAAAAAACATCAAGCGCTATGATGAAACTGGCTCTCATGAGGACCGCCACAGGAAAGGAAGACCCAGAGTTACCTCCGCTGCAGAGGATAAGTTCATTAGAGCTACCAGCCTCAGGTTGCAGCCCAAATAAATGCTTCACAGAGTTCAAGTAACAGACACATCAACTGTTCAGAGGAGACTGCGTGAATCAACATCAACTGGCCTACATGGTCGAATTGCTGCAACAACAAAAAAACACTAAAGGACACCAATAAAAAGAAGAGTTGCTTGGGCCAGGAAAGACGAGCAATGGACATTAGACCGGTAGAAATCGGTCCTTTGGTCTGATGAGTCCAAATATGAGATTTCTGGTTCTAACTTCTGGGTCTTTGTGACGCAGAGTAGGTGAACGGATGATCTCCAAATGTGTGGTTCCCTCCGTGAAGCATAGAGGTTTGATGGTGTGGGGGTGCTTTGCTGGTAACACTTAACCAGCATGGCTACCACAGCATTCTGCAGCGATACGCCATCCCATCTGGTGTGCTTAGTGAGACTATAATTTGTTTTTCAACAGGACAATGACCCAAAACACACCTCCAGGCTGTGTAACTGCTATTTGACCAATGAGAGTAATGGAATGCTGCATCAACCTCCACAATCATCCGACCTCAACCCAATTGAGATGGTTTGGGATGAGTTGGACCGCAGACTGAAGAAAAAGCAGCCAACAAGTGCTCAGCATATGTGGGAACTCCTTCAAGACTGTTGGAAAAGCATTCCTCATGAAGCTGGTTGAGAGAATGCCAAGAGTGTGCAAAGCTGTCATCAAGGCAAAAGGTAGCTACTTTGAAGAATCTCAAATATAAAATATATTTTGATTTGTTCAACACTTTTTTTGGTTACTACATGATTCCATATGTTATTTCATAGTTGATGTCTTCACTATTATTCTACAGTGTAGAAAATAGTTTTAAAAAAATTAAGAAAAATCCTTGAATTAGTAGGTGTGTCCAAACTTTTGACTGGTACTGTATGCTAAATAATATACGTGTGAAATTTGTTCATTTAAAATGGACCATTTTCATGCACCCGTCTTGGAACAGGGACATGGAAAGAAAAAAAAACGTAATCTATGCACTTAAATAATGAATGGAGGACGCTTTTCCCATGGTTCATTTTCATACCAGCCAGGTAGGCTATACTCCTGTTGTAAAGCAATGTGCTTAATATTAGGAATGTTGATCAATAGCCTATAGAAAGCTGATGAGATCCTCTTTTTAATAGAGGCCATCAAAACAGTTCTCACGCAATTGCATAACCTATAGAAATGTGGCACACGTTTTCGAAAACATTTGCATTGATGTCAGAGTGATTAGCAGGACAACAGTGCTGAGTACCCGGCAGTTAGCAAGTTTAGTAGGCTAGTAATGACCAGCAGCAGAGCTTGGAGAAGCCTAGCTACCGTAACTAAACGGTCACGTAGAATTTGACTGCGGTCGTGACTCGTGACCGCAGTAATAAGGTCACCGTAACAGCCCTAGTAACAACCCTCCTGTGACAGGCAGCAGAGAGCTGACACTTACTGTAATCATTGTACCCCCCCATGCTGGACTGGCTGCTGTAGCCCCCCGTGTAACCAGCGCTCATCTGCTGGCTGCCTCCATAGGAAGATTGGTTGGCTGTGGAAAATAGAACTCTCAAATAAAATAACTTAACAATATGGTGTTTGTCCAATTAATGCCAAATTCTGCACAGAGAACTCTACCCCCATTGGCCCAGAATATCCACTTTTATACCTTCATCTACTCCCAACTGAAAATACTCACCTATAGCGCCCATCTGACCGCCATAGCCTCCATTACTGCCCCCTGCTGTTGAGTTGAGGAACAACTCAACATAACGGTGCTCTGATGAGGAAGAGAGAAAGAGGGCGGAGTTACCTCAAACTTCTTCATTGGATTAAAAGACAAAGGATTTAGGATGCAACTATCCAGACAGGAACAGTAAATCATGTAAAAGTGATGACCCCCCCCATCAAATTACTGCAGACTCACGCATGTTGGCTTTATCCTTTGACATAGCTGCCACAGCATCCTCATGTGTGGCAAACTCCACATCAGCCTCTCCAGTCATCCTCCCATCTGGACCAACCTCGATGTGCACACGCACTGGGTTCAACGGCGAGAAAAACTACATGGGAGAAAATTGAGACCATTAGCATTCCCAGTTTACCTTGCCATCAGTGACCGTCAACGGATGAGTGTATATTATGTAACTAGTGCTGGTGCTCACACTGTAGATGTCAGTCTCTGTTGCCCGGTAAGGAAGCCCCCTCATGTGCACACAGTGCCCGGTCGTACTCTGAAAACTTGAACCACCATCGCCATAACGATCTGAACCTATAGTCGTTAGGAAAGTCGACAGAGGTAGAAAGCTTATGAATTGTTTCACCTACGAAAACATCATACACAAAAATGTATGCACGCATGACTGTAAGTCGCTTTGGATAAAAGCGTCTGCTAAATGGCATATTATATTATATTATATTATTAGAAATATACCAACTCAAAGCAACTCCAGTATGCATTCTACCAGGGGTTGGAACCGAAATTATTTCCCAATCGTTTCACAATGTACAGAATCCCCCAAAAAAGTTTTGTTCCATTGTTCTGACCAGCAAAATAAAGTTTGGAACTGGTTCAACCCCGCCCGAAATAACCGGTTAACATTTCCTTTTTTAAACCTGTGAATACAATAGTTTTTTTTTTATACCATTAAAATTACTTTACCAATCAGTGTGGATTGATCAGGCAAACTAGTTGTTTACATGTGTGGTGGACAGACAAGTGCAGCCTATGGCGTAAGATAGGACAACTTTTGCGGGTGGGGAGAGAGCGAGACAGGGTTGAGGCAGCTTGAAGCGCTGGGCATCTTGTTATGGCATTATCTGAATTAGGTCCAAAGGATTATACCTAGGAGGAGCCGCTTCCATGGAAGAACTTTGAATGACCTTTGAGCTAGCTAGCTAACAAGTTTGTGTGTGCAGACTGGTACAATAATTAAAAACACATCTTACCTGTTTAATTCCAACGTGATAACTAGATCTATAGTATCCTTAAATGGATGAACTTCAATGCGAGTTATCTCTACCTAATTAAAAATCTCTCCCCATCTTCTGAATCAAGCTTGTACAGTAGCCTATGCTTCGGAGGGGGGAGGGGCTGGTTGCCTGCACAGGCAAACATTTTCAGCTTGCAGGCAGACACCGGAATAAGTTTGAGTGACAGTGTGGGCTTTACATAGGCACTTTGTTGTGGGACTAGAAAAAAAGTATTTGGAATGTAACATTTAATTTTTAACAGGTTCCTAAGCTTTTAAAATAACGTTTCTGTTCCGGAACAATATGAACCACTTCCGTTCCAGGTTAGGTTCCAGGTTCCGTTACTTGAAAAACATTTATTTTCTGGTTTTGTTCCCGAACCTTGCATTCTAATATACAATGCGTTCAATAAACATTTTCAGTTTTCCCTTGCTGCTATGTCCCATCACCACCCACCTGTGATTTCCAAATAAGATAGAACAGAAACCAGAAAGTGTTTTTTTAGAGAGAAGCATGGAAGGGACAAAGTACTGACAATAGCCTTTATTCTCACCAGCCTCACCTCCACCGTAGCCCCCACGGCGCATCCTGTCGAAGGAGCCTCCGCGGCTCATGCCGTTGTAGCCACGGCCGCCGCCACCACCACCACCGGGCCTGTCGTAGGGGCCTGGTCTCTGCATGCCACCCATCGTTTTGCGTGGGGGCTCGTAATTCGTCCGCACCTCTGCATCACTGCTCTTGAATATCTCAATATACCTACAGGCACACAGACAAGCATTAGGACAGGGTCCCGGACCCAAAAAGTTTAACGGCTATTGAGTCGAATACTGTACATGGAGAAAAAAAGGAAAAATAATCTGCCAGTACTAAGGACATAGGTCTGTTGCATGTTCGTCCTGTTGCTCACAGCCATGCATGTCAATCGTCAATCATAGTATCTATAAGCTAATTGATGCCTCTGAAACTATGTATTTTTACTGACTGAACATCAATGTTTTACTTATTAGGGTTAATGACAAACATACATAGCCCCTGGAATGATAAAGCTATTTTCCTGTTGATGTTTAAAATAAACTATCACTCAAAAGAACCAGATAATTACACATGTCAGTGTAGAAATGCTATCATTGACCCCAGACAACCAAAGCTTTCCTTGTGACTGCAGGATCCATGGCCCAAGGAAGACTTGGTCTCAGTTACACATTGTGTGACATGGAGGGTCTGTGGATTAGTGCCGAGTGAAAACTGGTACCTTCTACGGGAAAAAAATACCATGATATCAAAGTGCATTTTTTTGGTTGAGATGCCACATTTAAATAACATTAAAAACTAGCATATTGGATTGGTGTGAAGATGAAAAGCAATGTTATTTGTGCCCAACCCAGTTTAGTGACATATATTGTGAATTATCTATCTACAAAAGGTGTTTCCTGACCACCTTGAGTGGAAGTCAATCAAAAACTCAAAACTGAGTCCAGGATAATCACTCAGCACTAAAGTATTTTTTGGCAAAAAAATAAGTGCATCTCTGAATTCAAAGAGGCTACGGATGATCTCATATGGATACATGTATGAATGTCCTTGTAGCATGTGCAGGTTCTTGACATGTGTCATTACCACAGAAGATGATTGTGGCAACAGATGAATACCATAAGAAAAGCAGCTTAACCAGCCAACCATCCATCCCCACCTGTGACCTATTCTTTCCTTGTGTTTCTTTAGAGCCTTTTCAGCTATATCCTGTGAAGCAAACTGCACGAAGGCCTCCCCCGTACTCCTCCCCTGGAAGTCCACCGGCAATGTAATCCCATTTGGCACGATTTCCAACCCTTCAACCCAAGGACAGATAACCCCAGCGGGGGACATATTAAATGACATGCCCATTCAGAGTTGTTGCTCTTTTCATTCAAAAAGAACAAGATGAAAACACATCAGACACGAGAACCCTATGAAAAGGAAAGCCTATGAACAGCGTACGAGATCGGTGTCACCACTTTGATTCTTAACTTAGTGTTTATTTTATTCATTCTGGGAACATTAACCAAATAAAAGGATCCATAGAATATTAGAGAGAAATTAAGTTTTTATACCAGTTTCAGGTGATGCTACTGCTGTGTATGACTGTCTGAATTTAAAGTAACTGCCCAGTGTTTCCAGTTTTCTATTAAATATGATATAATTAATTACAATATGAGTGAAGTAGTTCATTTATGTATATACAAAAATAAGCTTTTGTGTTGAATGGTATGGGCATACCAACAGAAAAATTGAGTGGGTGTCTACCGGTCCATAAAAATTACAAGTAAACACCTGAGTTGTCTCAGCCAAAAACATGACATAATCTATGAGGAAACAGCAAGCATTTTCAAAATGGTCTGTTTGATACACAAGTTCGAAGTGTGGTTTTCGAAGTGCTTTTTTAATTATATATGCTTTTGGCCACAAATAAAATTAACACATGAGCTTTTAAAAAGTGAGATTCTCACTGGACAGTTACTTTAAGAATCATCAAAAAAAAAAAAAAGTAGTATCCATCTTGAATCTAATCTGTCTCAGTTCTGATTGACTATCATGGTGAAGTATGCTCATATCAAAGAGTTCAGATGCCAATTCAATGTCAAGAGGACTTTGAGATTAGAGTTTTCCTTCAGCCAAATCTTGAACTACGGGCAGTGTATTTTCAAAGCCATGTTCATATCAACTAAGGGTGATTATCTTAAAGCATATGTCAAATGAAGCAATCGGATGCAATTTATGTTGCTTGCTAAAAAGTAGCATATGTGTTGCTCAGTGTGTCACACTTGCATTGCAAGAGATAAAAATCTAACCTACTGTACTTAATGTCCAATCAGTGAGCAGAGAAACTTTTACATGACTAGTCATATCATTCCGTTCGCAACGCCGACCCAGTTGTCATGTCTACAGCTGTCAGTGCTGCTACAATCCGCAAATGATGAGACTTGCCAAATGGGAAATGTATAAAACATTCTAGACATCACGGTTAGTCATCATGGTTTATGTAGATGGTCCTGCAGTCAATAAATACAATTTGAATAGTGAACCCAGACCATTCTGTCCAGTTTCAACTGAAATTGTCCAACATGAACTGCACTAGCTAAGCTCGTTTCTAGCTTGGTTAGCTAGCTAGCGTGGTAAAACATGGTTAGCAAATAGGCTACATTTTGTCTAGCTAGCTAAATTGAATCCAGCATTTTGTCTATATCGATAATGTTACAATGACCAAATAGTTGGATAAACAAATCATTTATGAAACCATGATGTATGACAAGATTGGATGTTGCATGCAATTTCAATTGCATTTGTTTTGCTTCATGTGACAGGCTTAAGAATTAATCAGAGTGGAGGAAAAGGGCACCAAACACACCTGAGAAGAACTGGACAATCTCCTCCTTGCTACAGCCGAAGGGAAGGCCACGCAGCCGCACAAGCCCGTCCCCCTCAGTCTCTGGGCAGTTTGGACCGGTGTGCTTCATGACCCAGTCCATCTCCACATTGTTCGATTTGAATACTGAGAAAAAACTGAACGTGAGGATTCTTTGGCATCTAATCCTATATCAGAACATAATGTTGGCACAATCACCTTAAAAGACACTATTGGCACAGGGAGACAAAACCTTATTAATGAATACCTTCCACATATCTGTGACCCAGGGTCTCTCTGTCTTTCTTGACGGCAATCTTCAGGTCGTCCTCCGACTCCAGCTCTACGAAGGCCTCTCCGCTTGGCCTGCCCTCACGAGTGTATGTGAAATGGATGCTTGTGCCGTTGTTTGCAACTTTACAATCTGGAATATAATTATACCAATTTAGACATCTGAAAAATCAGGTCAGACTTCCTTAGAGGCTAATTTTCATTGAACAATATAAGTAGCCAGGTTCTCTTACCAGAGAAAAATCTTGACACTTCGTCCACTGCGCAAGACCAGGGAAGGCCACGAATACGCACCACAAAACCCTCTCCATCTGCCATGGTTGGCTTATGGTCGGACAGCCCTTTGAGACAGAATCAACAAGTAAGATACTATACAGTCAAAGTGCATCTAGATGGGCTAACTAACATTTAATGAAAAGTTACCATATTCCAGATGACCATGTAGTTTAGGGTTGTAGCTCAATATAAATTGGCCATCTGACAAGAGTGCGGGATTCTGCTGAACCACAGACTACCAGTATGAAAATGAATGCACTCAATAACTGTAAGTCGCTCTGGATAAGAGCGTCTGCTATGTGACTAAAATGTAAGGAGAACCCTAGGCCTCCTGTAGCTCAGTTGGTAGAGCATGGCGCTTGCAACGCCAGGGTTGTGGGTTCGATTCCCACGGGGGGCCAGTATGAAAAATTTATGCACTCACTAACTGTAAGTCGCTCTGGATAAGAGCGTCTGCTAAATGACTAAAATGTAAATGAGAACAAACGGGTCAGGCCTGCACCATCTGAGTAGACTAGCATTAGCCACAGTAGCATGGTGTGGTGGAAAAGAAAGCATGCATTGTTTCCCGCCATTAGAACGAGTTAATGAGGATATCGACGGATTTGCAGCCTGAATGGAGAATGTTTATGTACAAACCGGTCCACGGGGGATACGAGCGTGCAGCCGGTTGTATACATTCCCTTTGGATGATAAGATGAAACGACTCAACATCGCCATCAGCCGGCATTGGCTTTTAGAGGTAAAGCCAGCGCTCATCACTCAATATATCTTCAAATCAGAACTCGAGAAACGCAGAATCTGAATACATTTTATTTCGGAACCACATGTTAGTTAAGCTAAGAAATTGTGACAGAGTTTATTCAACTCTTGCATCAACGGCATGGCCATTTGAGTTGCTAACTAAACAGTAACATTTCATGATTTGGATGGGCTGACCTATAAAAAAAAAAAAAAAAAAACAGCCAGTGAGTGTTTATTTAACTAACTAACGTTAGGCGGCTCGCGAACATTTCAAAGAATGAGTATAGTTAGGTAGCTAATATCAGTTGTTAGGCTCTGATATTATTCTCTTGAACGTATGTTATCTAAACTAGCAAGTATGTAAGTGCCTGAATGATAATTTACGAAACCAGCAACAATGCAAGTTAGCAATCATTCAAAACTAGTCTTAAACACGGTGCTGGCTAGTTAGACAAAGCATGCTATCGGCACGCAGACAAAGACCTCGCAGGCCTCAACAAGACTCACATGGCTTATCCATTAATCGACGTCAATTAGAAAACGAAAGTATAAATACTTGACCCATGAATTCTTACAAATGCATTAACTTAGCTAACCTTTCTTCTTTAATATAATGCAACCAATATGAAAATACCTTGATTTCTCTTTTCTGATTAGATGGGTGTTCGGCGGTAGCTGCTGTCTGGGATTGCGTTCAACTTCTGCACCAGAGCGCATGCGACTTGCAACACCGGAAACGCAAACCTTTCTGCTTCTTCTTTTTCTTCTTTGGGGTTTTACGGCGGTTGGAATCCAATATTTTTCATTTCCGCCCCCAACGGGACTATAATATCAATCCATTATACTTTGTGATTCCAAAGGGGAAAATATTGGATGCCAACCGCCGTTAAACCCCAAAGAAGTAATAATAATAATAATAAATGTACACAAAAATACACCCTTCCAACAAACCCTTCACTCATTAAAAACCCACAACCCCATTCCACTACCTTGACCCTATCTGTACCTGCACCATGCCAACGACCTAGGAGGGCAGGACACCACCACCCTGTAACTCTTCTGAAGTCAAATCTCGTATACACAAATACTTCTCTGCAGCTGCCAGAGATCTACATTCCATTTCTGCGGTACAGTTGATGACCATTACCATGAATGTTAAGAATCCAACCTTATTGAAACATACACTACCAGTCAAAAGTTTGGATACACCTACTCAGGGTTTTTATTTATTTTTACTATTTTTTACATTGTAGAAAAATAGTGAAGACATAAAACTATGAAATAACACATATGGAATCATGTAGTAACCCAAAAAGTGTTAAACAAATCAAAATATATATTTTATATTTGAGATTCTTCAAATAGCCACCCTTTCCCTTGATGACAGCGTTGCACACTCTTGGCATTCTCTCAACCAGAGTCACCTGGAATGCTTTTCCAACAGTCTTGAAGGAGTTCCCACATATGCTGAGCAGTTGTTGGCTGCTTTTCCTTCACTCTGTGGTCCGACGACCGTGGCGCCGACGACGAAGATGGCGGCCTCGCGACTAGCGCTTAGGAAACTTTGCAGTATTTTGTTTTTTATATTATTTTTTACATTATTAGCTCAGAAAGTGTTTTGTATCATTACATACAGCCAGGGAAAACGTTTGGATATCAGAGTGGCGGTAACTCACCAGCATTGCGGCCAGGAATACGACTTTCCCGAAGCAGATCCTTTGTTTGCTTTCCCCAGGGCAACTGAACTGATTCCAGCGGCTGACCCAAAACATCGCCGGCGGAGCAGAGGCACTTGGAGCGGCCTGCTGGTTCGATTTAGGATGCGCGCACACCACCCACCGCTTCCAAGTATACTACTCGCTAATGTTCAGTCTCTGGTTAACAAAATCGATGAACTCCGGGCATGGATTTCTTTCCAGAGAGACATCAAGGCCTGTAACATACTTTGTTTCACGGAAACATAGCTCTCTGGGATAATCTGTCGAAATTGGTCCAGCCAGATGGGTTCTCAGTTCATCGAGCACACAGGAATAAATACAGTGGGGGAAAAAAGTATTTAGTCAGCCACCAATTGTGCAAGTTCTCCCACTTAAAAAGATGAGAGAGGCCTGTAATTTTCATCATAGGTACACGTCAACTATGACAGACAAATCGAGAAAAAAAAATCCAGAAAATCACATTGTAGGATTTTTTATGAATTTATTTGCAAATTATGGTGGAAAATAAGTATTTGGTCACCTACATGTAATATTCATATGTGTCAGCATACTGAATTGTAATTGGATGCATTATACTGTGCTATGATTGGTTAAGACCACCCAGGTTGTGAGGTCATTCTAAGATGATCATGGCCAGAGACACATGGACATGCAAGTTATAGCTAGTTAATAAAGAGCTACGTTTATAAAGATCCTGTCGTCCTGCATTTTATTATTTTGTACAAAGCATACAAAACAAGACATGGTGTCAGAGTAAAAGGACTAAAATATGGATTTTGCTGGAGTTCCTTCACCTCGAATGGATTGGGGGTCTACAAATCTACCCGATGCATGGCGTAAGTTCAAACAGCATGTGGAGCTGATGTTCACGGGTCCTCTGAAGGAAAGAGGAGAAGAGGAAACGTGCAGCTACCTGCTCCTCTGGATCGGTGAAAAAGGGAGAGACATTTACAACACATGGACACTTACCGAGGCTGAATCAAAGGTACTGAAAACATACTACGATCGTTTTGAAGCACATGTTGTGCCAAAGACCAATACAATTTTCGCTAGGTACAAATTCCATGAGAAAGTACAAGGCGCTAGCGAATCGTTTGAACAGTTTGTCACTGAGCTGCGTCTGCTTGTGAAAGACTGTGATTATGCAAACAAGGATGAGATGGTCAGGGACCGTATTGTATTTGGAATACACTCACCGCGAGTGAGAGAGAAACTTTTGAATTTTGAATCAGAGTTAACGCTGGACAAAGCTATCGACATAGCCAGATCTCACGAGCTAGCACAGGTTCAGATGAAAACCATTTCGGCAGCACGAGCGCATCACGTGAACAAGCAGTGCACGCAGTCAGGCAGACATCAAAGCACACCTCCAGTGCGCAGAGAGCATGTTTCAGAACGGAGACAGACAGAACTCCAAAACAGAGCGACACAGACTCCAAACGCCCCAAAACATGTGGATATTGTGGATACAAAGTGCATGGCGAACAGGGGAATTGCCCAGCTAAAGGCAAACAGTGTACTAAATGTGGAAAATGGAATCACTTTGCAAAAGTGTGCAGAGTTAACCGTGGAAAAACAGTACATACAGTGAGTGAAGATGAAATGTCAATCAAAGAGTCAAATGCTGATGAACTGTTTATTGATTCAATGACACAGAAAAGTCAGATATCAGAGACAGAGCAAGCCTTTGCTGACATTGAGATAGGAAGACAAGGCACAGAGCTAAAATTCAAACTAGACACTGGTGCACAAGTAAACATTATTCCTCTGAGTAAGTACAGAAGCTTGACATCTGAGTGTGAGCTACAGCCCACCACGCGCAGACTGACTGGTTATGGTGGTGAACAGCTCCCAGTAAAAGGCACATGCACTCTCAAATGCAAATACAAGGAAAGGGACATGATGTTGGACTTTTACGTTGTTGACACTCGAGCACCTGCAGTGCTAGGTCTTAAAGCATGTTTAGACATGGACCTTATCAAGCTAGTTTTATCAGTGACAGCACCAGTAGAGATAGAGAATGTCATGGAGGAGTTTGCTGATGTTTTTACAGGAATAGGACTATTCCCAGGAGAATGTACCATTCACCTTGACCCAGACGCAACCCCTGTGGTCTACCCACCGAGAAAGATTCCACTTGCTCTCTGCGCCCGTCTGAAGAAAGTTGGAGAGCATGGAGCAATCTGACATCGTCACCAAGGTTACAGAACCGACGGATTGGGTCAACGCGTTAGTGGTGGTGGAGAAACCACGCACAGGCAAGCTCAGAGTATGTCTCGACCCAAGAGACTTGAACAAGGCTATCAAATGCCCCCATTACCCCTTACCGACGCTAGATGGCATCACACACAAGCTAGCGGGCGCACGCTACTTCAGTGTCATGGACGCCAGATCAGGCTACTGGGCTATCAAGCTCACAGAAGAGTAATCTAAGCTCACAACGTTCAACACACCGTTTGGACGCTACAGGTTCCGTCGCCTGCCTTTTGGGATTATCTCAGCCCAAGACGAGTTTCAGCGAAAGATCGACGAGGTGTACGAAGGCCTCGACGGAGTCGTGGCAATTGTGGACGACATCCTTGTCTATGGTCGAACCAAAGAGG